ATTCATTCAGTTTTTTGTATATGAAATTTTTTACTACCTCAGCGGTGTAAAAGAAATATGTAGCCTTTAGTAAATAAAAAACCATTGACTATCTCCTCATTAGGTTCTATCTACAAATCTATCACCAGCATCCGAACTCCTACTAGCAATGATAGATAAATAAATTGGATGACAGTGTAAAAACTGAAAACCACAAACAATGGGCATGATTTCCTAACGAATGGGTATTACCCAATAGCTGAAGATGTCCGCCTGTCAACGGACAACGAAATAACAACTTTACAAAGTTAAATAACAATTTTGATGATGATTTGTAATCTTTGAACGATTTGGTAACACAGAAAGGAACGGACTGTCAAAAACTGAAAGGTCATATGCAGACGGACACTACTTACTGCACTCCTAAACCGCTGAATCACACTACCTGTGTAAGGCACACAACTAACCACAATTACGTACCCGGACAGAATCAGATCTTCAAAAAACCGGCTCCAATCAACCTAAAAGCCGCCATATCTTCGTTTAAATATCAGAACAAGACTGTTAGTAACATTAGCTCGCTCGCTAATTTTGCACTTTCGACTTACAAGTAATTACAACTTGCAACTTGCGTAACTAAGGCCGAGTCGCTTCTGCAGTCACGACCAAACTGTATCGCAAACTTACCTTTGCCGTTTAAAAAAAATAACACTTTCTAAATTCAACTCTGCGCCGTCGTAAAAAGAAAGATGGCGGAGTTATTTCGCGCCAACGCTCTTGTTGTTGGAACACAAAGCAGTAAAAATTATATCAAAACTCCAGAGGCAGTGGTTGCATAACCTCGTGCCCAATAGAATAATAATAGATGTCGCAGAAAAAAAACGAAAGTGCAAGAATTGGAGCGGGCAATGGATACAATGGCATAGTAAGCACGATTGTGTATCAAAAAGTATTAACAATACTTTGATAGTAGTCTATGGCCACTAGAGGGTTACTAATGTGGGTTTCTGAAAGGAGGATGCCTGTTTTATGCAACCTTTTTGAACAATATCTAGCTCAAACATGATTATTGTGTTGAAATAATATGTCCACACTTACAACTCTTGACCTAAACAGCCACACCATATACGAAATGTTAAATTTACAATTCACAAAGACAATCAAATCGTAAATTGTTTGAATTAATTTAATCAATATATAAACCTGTTTGGGCTACGAAACTGAGTGCCCTGTTGATCTAGTGAACTCAATTGTGTTCGCCGAGTGTAAAATATTGCAGTCTCGTGTTCGGTTCCCGGGTCATGAAAACTAATATTTAGGTGTTCCAATTTTCGTATACAATATTACACTGTGTACCTAATTAATGTAGCTATCTAACTCTATATACATTTGCACCATTACCTAGTTTATCCGTTCAGGGATTTCTAATATGGATGACACGTGATTTAGGGTCATATTCACTATAGGTATGTCTATAATTACCTTCGAGATATCGTTTACAGTGTTTAAAAGACTTGAAAAAAGAGTAAAAAACAGTTTTCTTGGGGAACAGAGGGGGGGGGGGGGGGGGCAAACAAGCTGCAGTCGGTCATACACACTTTTTTAGTAGCTGATCACCAGCATTCAGGCTTTCCCATTTGTGAGATTGAGAAACAATATTTTAGATTAGAATTTTACCTCTATAAGTTAGTGTTCACGAACATTTTTAACTCAGTTGGGAAGTAAAATAAAATAATTGCATGGTATGCATAGTATAAGGTAGGTTCTCTCCTTCTGTGGTTCGAAACTAGTAGAGCTTTTCTCAGTATATTCACCTGAGTAACCCGCGATTTTACTTAAAATAAGGTATGTTCTCGTTTAAAATCTAGTTAGGAGACCCAAGTTTTAAGAAACTAATATAATAAGGTGGTAAGCGTTTAAGTGAAATCGACCTAGAGGTCAATACAGAACGCATTGCAATTCGCAAACATTTCTTACGGATACTTTTTTTACTATTCTATTTCTGCAACTGTTTTTACTGCCTATAACCATTACACTATAAAGAATAAGGTTCAAAATAGCAAAACATTTCCTATTGTTGTCATAATTTAATAATAATAGTCATAAAGCACAATAAAAGTTATGAAATTGTGATCCTTTTATTGGAAAACGGTACAAGGCTTAAGTTTCGTATTGTAGGTATGAAAAAACATTATGTTTTCAACCTGTATTATGTAGGTAGGTAAGTACGTACAAGTGGCAAAGCAATACACACCAATAGTTCAATATGAAGGTGTTTTGTTTTAATCGATATAGGTCAACGAGCATCGTGGTGGCCCGGAGGTTTATGACGCACTTCTCATACATGAGGGTGCTGGTTCGAAACCTACCAACGGCAAGTACCAATGTGACTTTTTCCGAGTCATATGTACTATCTAAGATTATTTAGACACCACTGACAAACGGTGAAGGAAAACATCGTGAGGAAACCTGGGCTTATAATTTGTAATTATAAGTTTGAAATCGCCAACCCGCATTGAGCAAGCGTGGTGATTAATGCTCAAACCTTCTCCGTGTGAGAAGAGGCTTTGCTCAGCAGTGGGCATTTATAGGTTGTTGATGATGATGAGATCAACCAGCAGACAGAACACGTGATGGTGAAGCGATCAGCCCCGTCCAAGGACACCCGTAATACTAGAAGATGATGGGTAACAGCAATCTCTGATGAACCTGAACGTGCTATCTCCAATCCGCTTGCTACGTGTGCATGTTATGATAATTCCATCTATTGAAAAGAAGGCTCATAGAAGACTCTCATGAGCTATCGATGATAATGCATGAATCTAGACTGAATGGGCTGTTGATGACGATAATGAATCATTCCATGCTATGTCGAAATTATACCTACAATTACTAAATATAAAATTTAGCATCACAGTTAATAACATTTTGTGCCTAGATATGGTAGCGTCTTATTCGATAAAAATATAACTTTGATTAATTTTGCAATACTATAATTACTACTTACCATGTTTGGTTGGCTAACCTTTGCAAAATAAAACCTTTTTGGTAGTTTTATTTTTATATTGACCTTAGCATAATCGTTGTATGATTTCCTAGTAGCAAAGTCGTTGGGGATTCAATTCCCAGCAGCTGTAGCCAAATGCCATTTAGCGGTTGTCTACATGTAGAGTAGAAAACCAAATTATAAGGAATTGACGTAAATTTTGACACTTGTCTGTGTCATTCCCATACATTTTGATTTCTACTCTCTTTGTAGACAAGCGCTAAAGTGGTGTTTGGCTAAAGGTCCTGGTCTTCCAAAGTGTTACCTATAATATGTTATTGACTATTCGATATAAGAAGGAAATAAACTTATAACTTCTTGCTTTACATGTTAACTACAACAGGATTAATAAAATTATGATGAATGACCTGGTAGATAATGGTCAGAATGGCAAAGAACATGACTGTAACAAGGCTGATGTCGTAGTTCATAATTTTGTGTAACAGTAACTACTGTCTCTGTACTGATTCAGTCTTTATTTCCTTGCCTGCTTACCCAATAACTACAGAATGTACCTAGGTACCAGACTATGCCCTGTAAAAAAAGAATGCTGACGGCAATCGGTACCTTATGATGATAGTCTTAGGTATCTAATTTACGTATTCTAGATTCACAATCGATATCCAATAATTACAAGACATTAGACAAACAAAGATAATAATACCATTAAAATCACAAATCTATGCCGTAACACACACTGCTACACCGAAACCCATTCTACCGCCTAATAATAAGACTACAATTCCTGTGACAGTTAATCTCTAGCCGGAACAAAAGCAGTAATAATCCATTGGAGTCAAACCTACGGCTACGGCTATCCTAGGACTTTCACTGGTCCCAATCTCGTCTCAACTGAGGCCCCGAGCATTTCCTTAGACATAAGTAAGTCACGATCTTACTAAATATCTTACTAATTCCATATTGAATATGCAATTGAGATTTTACCTATTGACTTAATTAATGCAAATACAACTAATAATTTTTAATTTCTTAGTTAACTTAAATCAACGTTGTATTTAATTTAAATTTTATCTTTATCTTATTGTAATTTTATTTTATTGTGATTTTTATTTTATTTTACTGTCTATATATATAAATATATATAAAAATGAAACCCGTTTCCCGTTGTCACGCCATAACTTGAGAATAGCTGGACCGCGCAGATTGCGAGTACAATTAGTCGCGGGCAGAAGCTAGTCATTTATAAATTTGTGATTGATGTTTAATTTGTTCCTATAGGTTCTTATGCCTGAAATAAATGATTTATTATAATTTTATTGTTTTCCTTTCCATAAAAAAAGTTACTGTCCACTCACAATCACTAGAGACTAGCGTCATAAATAAAAAGTTCGTGTCCTGGTTATAAAATCATAGCAATTAATATCAACAACGAAACATTGCCTTCTACTTTTTTGTTTCAAAGGATTGTCTACACATTTTACCGAGACCGAACTAAACTGCTAAACTAAAGCTGCTGCTAAACTGGTGATCTCCAAACCACTCCTGAAGTTTGGAGATTATGATAAACTCTCTTATGTATAGTAAGAAAAAAGTTATTAATGATTTGATGTGATAGAATAAAGCAAATGTGTACTAAGATAATATTTATTTATTTACAAAATTATATTAATTAAAATTAATAATTCATATTGATATATTCAAATTCGAATACAACATAGATACAAAACATTTTAGAAGGTTTATAATTAACATTTTGTGACTTATCAAAATTGTTTAGGTCCTTCCTTAGCTAAATTAATTAAAACTGAATTCACAATTATAAATACTAACATTTCAAACTGTAACCTAGATGTATTTCATCTAAGATATTCAGCATATGTTTAAGAAAACTAACACAATAATTGGAACTTAATAAATATTTGTGTTTAAAACTCCTTGCTGATTTCATTCCACACAATCAAAGAGCACTTCTATATTTTACTAAAGGTAAAGTGCTATTACTGGTTATACTTACACAATTTAAAAAAAATACTACATAATTGGTTGTCTATGCTCTATCACCTCTGCATAGCATTAACTTTTTCTCCAATCTCAGTGAGCATTTGAGCAGATTTCTGTATATTTTCAAACTGGTAACCCATATGTACTGCTATAAGTTGCATCTTCTTTAGATTCTCTTCACTGGTCTCCATCTGATGTTCAGTTGATGCCATCTCTCTGGCCGCTTTTGATAGAAGCTGTAAAATATAATAAAAAAAATTATAGAACATATATTTTTTCATAGTTAAAAGCAGTAAGGGTATCAGAATGAATATTTATAATTACAATAAGCTGTAAATCTTATTCTAATTCTAACTTATTATAATAATTTCCACTCTACATTTTACAAGTTTGCTCCTAGTAAAATTTCAGCAATAGCACTTAGACTGGCTTTGTACCTGGTGTATAGCAATAGCAGAGCCTTATTGCATGGGACTTAGAAATGAAAAGAGGAGGTCACATTGAAAAATGTACACCTATAGTTACCACTGCTCTTCAGGGAATCAAAAGAGTGGCATTATCTTTATTTCTAAATAATTCTGTAAGTTTACCTCATTAGATTTTGATCCTCTTTGTATCTGGCGAGCCAAAGACGAAATGTTGTTCATATTAACTTGAACTCTTTCAGCTAAGCGCTGTTTAGATTCGGCAAACAACGATCGAGCACTACTCGACGACGCCGAAGTCATTGCGTGGCGTCTGTTAATTTAGCTATTAATATATTACCCTTCTATTACTAACAGAATAAACACTCCCTTGTTTAATAAATCTTTCATTTATTTACCAATCGATCGAAACGAAAACATGAAAAGCAAAACGTCAACAAAACTGACAATGACATCTGTCGAATTCTGTTGCTGTGACAGATGACAACATCCTTTCTGAAGCGTTCAGAAATACTATGTCGACAGAAAACAGAACTATGAACTCTGCGATGGAACTCTGATAAACATCACTCACAAAATAAGTAATTTTGTTATCATAATGACTGAAAAGTTATATGAATTTGATTGCAATAATCACTGTGTAATAGGCTGCAACTACACAGTTCACGAATCTTGATTGAACCGTAACCAGTTGAGGCCAGCAAAATCATTGTCCTCATAAATAAATTTTATCGGTGCACATATCATGAGTGGCATGAAGTGTCTACCTCTGAAATAGCCTTTAAACAAAGAAAGCGAATGGTCACGTAGAAAGTTGCAACTTACAAGGGCAAGTATAATTTACTCATTTGCAACACTGCACCAAATAGTCATTGAAAAATTGATTATTTTGACTAAAGTGGCAACTCATTTTTTACTATATTTCACTCACTCAACATGTCGACATTCAAATCGACTATGTTGCACTCTTTCTAACTTTTGTAAATAAATGAGAAAACGCTACCGGAATCGAACGAAACATTCGAAATCTGTACGATTGAATGAAACCAAATAGAGGGCTGACTTTTCGCTCGTCACGGAAGGTTTTGTGTTGTAGGAAATTTCTGTAATCTAATTCAATTATTAGCCCTTTTCTCGAAATGTTTCCCTTTAAATTGAACCATTTGTTTCTGTTGCCTCCTGCTCTGTTTTCTTTATTGTTCTGTTTCGCTGTAGTATAGAATATGTCTTTTATTTACAAGCCTATTGTGAATCAGTATATTTGTCTTCATATTTACGTTTATAAGTAGTGTATTCCTGAAAATGGATAAAGGAGTGACATGTGACCATCTAAATAAATTAGCTGATGTTCTCGAGAAGGAGCTGTGGCAGTCGAAAGAGGTAAATATTAAGAATTTTCATGGTACCTAACCTAAAATGTAATGTCATAGGTAATTAGCATTCTTGGTTTAGTCTAGTTATATTGTGTAATGCTCACACCACCGAGTACTACTCGGAGTAGCGCGCAAACTGTTCGTAATGTTTGCATATTTACTATCACTTTTCATTGAAAAATTCCAGTTGATAATGTTTACTGGTCTTTTTTCTTTTTATTGAGCTCTAAACTGCAATTTGTTATTGATATTTACTGCATACACCTTTGTTTTAATGTTAAATTAAACTAACATCTAATCAGGAAATATTTTACATAAGCTGGCCATCAATAATACAATTATAATTTGAGCACACTGGCACACCACATTACTTATAAATTATTTATTTTACCATTTTAGGCTATGATTGCATTGGAAACTGGCAATGTTTTTCTTATATTCCATTTACCTCTGTCTGTTATCTAACTACAGTACATGTAAACTGCATATCATGCCTTGATAATTATTCAAGTAAGACTAATGAGAATTTTAATTGCAATTAGATCTAGTTCAAGTACTAATTTAATCTAAAACATAGCAAACCTTTGTTTGATTGCATGCACATGAGATGGTAGAAACTCATAAACAAAGAACATAATGAAATGGAATGAACAAATGAAAGGGTAGACCGAAAAAAAAAAGTTCCTGATGTGCCACAGATAATTTAATCCATAATCTATTTTTAAATTCTTCAGATACCCTTTAACTCGTCGAGTACCGGTTTTATAGACACAATTAAAGAACAATAGATCGCGGTCACCGGTGACCGCTTGGTGTTTGACAGTTTAATTTAACATTTTCTTAATAGAATTATAATTAATTCAATGTTGGAAAAGTAAGTAAGTGGATCTTATAGTTAGGGTTATTTACATTGTTTGTGTGTATTGTGCTTATTGATTGAAATATTATTATTCTCTTTATGTAAAGGAATGTATGTATTCTATAGTTACATATTTCATCAATTAAAGTGAAGTTATCACTTTCAAATTGATATTGTGATTCTTATAAGATCAAACAGACATTTTATTTCTTTATTTGAAATTAAAATAAAATAGTGTTTGTGTACAAATGCTTTATTGATATCCATATTACTAATATGTATAATCTATACAACTTAAAAACTACTTACAAAAAATATAAAAAACAAAACCTAAAAATAACTATTTAGAAAGAACATTAAAAAATTATATGTACTGTCGCATAAAGATGAACTTCTTGCTAACAGGCCTAAGAGTATTCAATGCCAGTATACCAAATATTTGGGTAATATAGAGACGTGATAATGCATCCCACTGATATTACTAATGCGAAAGTTATAGCTTTATCCATTCAATTCAACTGATAATCTTAAAATTGTTTTGTCACACATGAATGTATTAGGAAGTATGTAGCCTTCTACATACCTCTTAATAAGACTATGTCCTTACATATAGTCTAATCTACATTAGCAATTCTGCAGATAAAAACTAGCATTGTATAAAATATTATTATTATTATTTATTATTTATTTAATTCAGACAGGCAGTTGAAACAACTGATAAATGCCTGTATCGTATTTTTCTATCAGTGGTTATTCAATGTTGTGTATCTGTCAAGCCTGTTTTTGAACTGGTTAACATTCTGTGCAGCGATTACATATTCTGGCAGCCTGTTCCATGCTCCGACCACGCGATTACTCAGAAAGTGTCTGTGAGGAATATTTTTCGATAAGCTTTTACACAGCTTAAGGTGGTGGCCTCTAAGATGAACGTTTTTATTACGTGAGAACATTTGGTTGAAATCAGTAATGTCATAATGTCCACTCAAGATCTTGTATGTCTCAATTAGGTCTCCACGCTGCCTGCGATCCTTCAATGTGGTTAAGTTTAAAACCTTCAAGCGTTCTTCATATGGATGCTGTTTCAGTGCTCGTGGTATTTTAGTAAAACTACGCTGTACTTTTTCCAAGTGTTTGATATCCTTTGCGAAGTAGGGGCTCCAGACCTGAAATGCATACTCTAGGATGGGCCTGACGAAAGTTTTGTGGATCTTAAGCATCATCTCAGGAGTCAAGACACCAAACGCTTTCCTGATGAGGTATATAAGACTCTTGGCTTTCTTGGTGATCGAAGTTATGTGCTCTTCCCACTTTAGATCCTCTGTAATCTTTACCCCTAAGTCTGTTTGCACCTTGACCCCTGTCAGTTCAGCGTTACCCAGTTTATATGTCAGACGAGGATTACTGTTACCTATATGCAGTACCGTACATTTAGAAGCGTTGAGGTTGATGAGCCACTCCTTGGACCAGTTTGCTATTCTGTTTAAGTCCTCTTGAAGATGGTTATAGTCAACTGTCGGATCCGCAAATATTTTAGTATCATCAGCAAATATGCTGACTTCACATCTCAGGCAACTGGGAAGGTCAAATGTGTATATTATATACAACACTGGGCCCAATACAGACCCTTGGGGCACTCCGCTATGCACTTCTCGATGTTCTGATAACGTCTCACCGACTCTTACTCGTAAAGTTCTTTGCCGCAAAAAGGATTCGATCCAGCTCAGTAGTTTTCCGCGTATTCCCACGAATTCTAATTTCTGTAGCAGCCTACCTGTGGGAACTTTATCAAAGGCTTTTTCATAGTCTAAGTAGATTACGTCTATAGGTTTTTTTTCATTGAACTTCTTTGTCCATGATGACAGGCTCGACAGCAAGTTAGAAATACTTATCAAAAATTTATTTGCTTAACTTATTTTTGCATGTCTTTGAAGTAAAGTATAAAATGTGTATCATAAGTACATACTGTTATTGTCAACAGCAAAATTAACATACAATTTATGTTTGAGAATAACTAAAACACACTGAATTTATAGTTTTTGTCTATAGAATCTACACATACTAATATCTAAGCCACCTATGTCACTGAAATGAAATTATTCATATTAACTACCAGCTTAACTTGCATTAATATAGTTTTTAAATAAATTCATAACCTCGGTATTTGTTTTTGAAAAAAAAAATGGTGCATCTGGTCTGGTCTGTCTGGTGCATGAATGTGATGGATGTAAGAGGATGTGTGAAGAAAGAGTATGCAAGGATCATACTAGGTGGCGCCTTGTAGTTTCTGCCTAATCTTTTGATTCCTTGGACAAAGGCTTGTGTTGTTAACTTAGTATGGATGCATTAAAAAAGCAATTCAGTATGGTGTTGTTTATTATTGTGTTTGTATTGTCTAATAAACTTTTAATAATAATAGGAAATGTTTTAATAATAACTATTGTGAGACATAGTAAATTAACTACAAATCACTGGTTACTTACATGAAAATATGGAGAAAAGCTCTACTAGTTTTGAACTACAGAGGGATTCTTTCTCATGATCAGCGGTCACAGCGATTTCATGCAGCCTGGAACCCTAGGAAGAACTCCTCTCTGGGAACAGGTGGAAACTAGTAGACATTTTCTCAGTATTTTCACGTGAGTGACCCGCGATTTTTAGTTAATGTTGGAAAATATTATAATTTTACAGCAGAAGGAAAGTTTCATGTCGCTGATGCAAATTAATATATTGTTATGTAATCTTCTAGATAGCACAGATTATCAGTTTATCAATATAAATTTGTCTCTTATACCTACTGTCTATATATCACTGATATTGTTTTGATAACAAGTAAATTGCTAGTGTGTTAGAATTTATGATAGTATTGATTAGGTTTTGATTTTTGGATATTGGTAACTATGGTCATAATGTTGCTCAAAATCGGAACTATAGCAGATATACAGATACATACAAAAGAAAAATACAAATAAAATACTATACAGATAAATAAAATTAGAGTGTCTGTTTATAATATTTAAACATGACATGGTTTTTACTACATTCATATATGAATATACATACGATACAGCGGGCTAAACGGATTTTGTAAGTTTTATTTGGGAGGCAGCTGAAGTACTAATGAGTAACATAGGCTACTTTTGTTTTGGAACATTTAAACAAAAAAAATATTATAATATTATATGCGGCCCAAGTCGCAGGCACCAGCTAGCTACATTGAAAAACACCTTTATGTCAAAGTCAAAGTCAAAGCATTTATTTCAATTAAACCATAGTTTGGTGCTTTTGAAACGTCAACAAATACAAAATAAATAATAGTCTGTCAGTCAGTCCGTCAGTGAAACTAGGTGAAGCTAGGTGCTCATTCCAAAAAGTAGATTCGAATGGAGAAGAACGAGCAAGAAACTCCATTCGTTACTCTTTTTAAAAAAGTATGTTCTACAATGTCTCTGATACATATTTCAATACTGTACGCATATGTAAGAACAATGCAAAGACACGCTTGACGCATTATACTAATAACTTACAAAAATTAAAAAAAATAAATAAATAAAAATTAACTTAAAGTCCAACATGGTGCTCACATATGCATACTGACAATCCATAGAATTAGTGCTTCTATACAAGAAAAGGAAACTATTTGTTTCAATAAAGAAATGCTCGATGCCATAAGGAAACTAGATTGTCTACATTAGAATTCAAGTGTTAAATTATGTATTAAAATACCTACTATTGGAATTTAGCTACTGACTACATTTGAGTATTGTCCAGTGGAGCCGAACCAACATGCTGCCAAGCATTCTTATCTTCAAGATAATCTGTCAGCGTGTAGTAGGCTTGATTACATAATTCGCGCTTAATATATGTTTTAAATTTACTTTCACTGAGATCTAGTATGCTATTTGGTATTTTATTATAGCATTTAATACCTAACCCCATAAAGGATTTCTGTACTTTGGACAGTCTGAATTGCGGTATAGCTAACTTATTTTTGCCTCTAGTATTAAAATTGTGTCTATCGCTTCTTTTTTCAAAATTTATGTTTTATCTCATTTCTATGATCTTGTACACATTTCCTGAGTCTGTGGCTTAATACTGATAATTTTTAAAGTCATTAACTAAGCCAAATAATATTAGTAGCTAGGCTAGTTTTAACTGGATTAAAAAAAAGAAGGAGGTTCTCAGTTGGACCTGTATGTATGTTTGTGCACGGTTATCTCACTATTGGCTGACCTGATTTTGATGCGGTTTTCAGAAAAAAACAATTGTTACACTTAGGAGAAGGTTTCAGTATATTAGGAAACTGACCTCAAAAAAAGAAACGACTGAAGTCTATTTTTTTAAACGTAGTTCATGAAAGAATTATTAAGTCCGAGACAGGAAACATTACTATTTGTAAAAATATGCACTAAATAACATTTTTTCTATTATTTGTTACAGAATTTGACATGTTTCGACTGCGGTTGTCCTGGCCCCAACCTCTGGATATGCTTGCAGCCTGAGTGCCATCACATCGGCTGCTCTGAAGTTAAAAATGACCATAGCACTCTACACCAGAAGGTATGTTCTTAAAATATGTTTCTATCAATGTTTGAGGACAGCAAAATGTCTGTAAGAAACCATCAGATTAGCTATGAGCTCAGTAGAAGCCTAGATTAAAATATAAATTATGAAATAAAGAAAAAAAATAATAAAATATGAAGAGTAACAATGAAAATGAGTAAAATAGCTATAGAATATTGTCGCGGAGAATCTGACGGGTAGCCGGGGCTCCGGCTTGACGTGCAGGAGAAGGAACGGGGTGGTTTTTAGTCAGTAAGAGTATGACACTCCCTCCCGCCTCACCCAGCCGGGAGCAGTCATTCGATGATTTTCCCCCCTTAAAAAAAGCTATAGAATATTAAATTAGTTCCTTTTATAAACGACTACTTTCTTCCGCGCGGTTTCATCCGCTCTGCTCGGCTCCTATTTATCGTAACGTGATATTTTACAACCTATAGTCTTCACTACATAGTATAAAACAAACAAAGTCGCTATCCGCCGTCTATCTGTCCCTATGTATGATTATATCTTTAAAACTACATAACAGATTTTGATTTGGTTTTTTTAATAGATAGAGTGTTTTTTAAGGAAGGTTCATATTATGTATAATACATGCATATTGCACCCATGCGTAGCCGGCACGGGTCGCTAGTCCTCGATATTTCCATTATCTAACAGAAAAAGAATTATTCAAATCGGACCAGTAGTTCTGGAGATTAGCACGTTCAAACTAACATACCCTTCAACTTTATATAGTAAACAATATATTGTAGTGATCCTTATTTTTAAACTTGTGTCTCAAGATAGATGCGTTTACAAACACACAAAATCGGATAGACACCCCGACCCAGAGTATTTGTTCATTATATTAGCATCACGCATTTTATTCATTGAAAAGTTAGACCCCATTTGTAAGTTGTATTCTTGTAGGTACTGTCCTGTCCTACTCCAGATATTAATGTAAACAACTACTTACGGAATGTAATGTTATTCACTTAGCATTAACCGACGCGCACAATATGTCTATTCATACAAAGATTGAATTCAAATTCATTAAACAGCAACCTATTCATACATTATCAAGATCTCTACGACTTGAATATTTCCCTATAACAAAACATTTTAAATTCTAAAGCAAACAGATTATGGTTTATAATTGATAATTATCGCCTTGTCTTGTGATGTAATTAAACAATTTAAAGTGCTGTAAATAATACAATGGAGCAGTATAGTTATTTGCATTTACGTAAAGGTAAAACTAAATATATAAGTACGTAAAGTGGTCAGCTCATCGACTCAACTGCTCCATTTTTGTCATTGGATTTTTGACGTTATGTATAAGTAATAGAGTTGAAAATCGAATACAGAAATTTGACAGAAAAGGGTAGATCGACCTGCTACCCACTGTACATGGTTATGTATATTATATATAACTAGAGTTGATGTTACGCAGAAAATATACACGTGATCTACAGCTCTTTAATTTTATGCTTGTTACAAACGATGTATAAAGAAAAAAGTTCTGTGGTAATGTTTGCAAAAAATCATCGAACTACGTAGTAGATACTTACTGGCTATTTTCTGTTTTTATAGATATGAAATAATGCTATTGTAACTAGACGTAGGATGCTCTAAATAAATTGCTTTAAAATTGGCATCCAATCAAATAATAATATCCTATTATTATAATATCCAGAGGCATAGATGCACATTATGGCCTTTGTACAGAGTAAGACCCACTTTTCACTATTTATGTTATAAGTCTCATATAATATTGAGTGAGCCTATTAGCATACACCGGGTATAGTTCCAACCCAATAATCTTTTCCTATCCCGGGAATCGAACCCGAGACTCCTTGCCCGGCAGTCGCACTTGTGACCACTCGGCCATTGAGGCAGTCAGTGACTTAATGAAATCGTAACTAAATACAGAAACAAAGGAAGTATCGAAAATATTAATTGTAGATGGCGCCACTGTAGATTTTAGTCCTTCAAAAGTATGCGGATCAAAGGTCTCTCTGCCCTTATGAGAAGCTCAGAGTTATAGCGAATGTAAGACGTTTAACCAATAAAGATCGGATATTGAGCTTAATTCTCCTTTCATAATACGACTTGTTGACGTCGGGATCCGTTCAGCGAATAATGTAGGTACAGACGACAGAAATAGTCTTTATATTTATTTTATCAAGTGTTCTTTTGTTGTATGAAAAAATGTGAGACTCGGTAAGAGGATTATCTTTTAGGTACCTACTAAGGAGATTTAGGTATGATCTGGTATACAGTTCAACATACAGTACACAAACTTTCGCATTTAAAATTTTAGTAAGATTGTTGAAGTGGTTGGTTTTCATTTAAATAAATGATGGACATTTTATACTTAATTTAATTTAAAACCTTAGAAAACACATTTCGACGCCATGCGATTGTGCGATGCAAAGACGAAGAAGCAGAGACAAAACAAACACAGATTAACAAATGACATCCTGCACGGTTACCTTCCCAAGGAACAACTAGATGGCGCTACTTGTATAATTTAGATGTTTAATACTTTAACTGCCAAGTTTAAAATGGTGAAAGTCAAACCTCCACTAGCGTCAGGCACCGGTGACTGACGTGGCGCTCTAAGGGTTAAGATTATAAAATTTACCTTCTTACAAGTTACAACAATCATTGTTTGTTTTTGTTCTATAAAATTCTTTATTAAAATAAGTAGGTATACACAAATTGAAAAACTTACTATACTAAGTCACAATTCCGGCTTCACATAACAACACTTTTAGAGGCTATGTAAGGCTTTTTAAGTTTTTAAAACAATAAGAAATGTATGCTGGTTGGATGTATGATAATATAAATATGTTATACATATCAAATCATTGGAAAGTATGATTAAAATGTGCTATAATTGCATTTGTATGACTAGATTTATAATATTAATATTTGCTAGTATTATGGACATAAAACTACAAACGATGGTGCTCTGTGTACTTAATCCCCTTGTGACAAAGACCAATTTAATTTACGTATCTATGTAATTTATAAACACTAAAAATAATTACTAAAACCACTTTCATCAATGACAGTAATCCAATTTGAAAAAGTTTCTTCAAAACCTCTTTCGATAAATTATTTACCTACTAGCTTTTACCCGCGGCTTCGCTCGTGTCACAAAAGGATAAAAAGTAGCCTATGTGACATATACCAATACATATAGCGCCATCTATACCAATACTTTTGTTTTCCCTCGGGAATATCAAATTTCTCCGGGATAAAAAGTACCCTATTATTTAATCCGGACTTCTAACTTTACGTCTGCAAAAATTCAAAGCAATCGGTTTAGTAGTTACGGCGTGAAAGCGGAACAAACAAACAAACAAACTCACTTTCCGATTTATAATATTAGTAAGGATACAACAGTTTTGTACTCGTCTGTACTCAGTTTACAAACACAATGAAACGTTTGTGTAATCACAAAGCTCTTTGTACTCAGTTTGCGCTAAAATTATCGTGAATGTGCATATATATGTGTGTGTCTGGTGCAGCTTTTATTACTAAACTACTGGACACGTTGCGTTGACATTTGGCAACTAAATTGAGGAAGGATATTTTTATTTTATGACAGAAGTTGTACAAAGGAATCATGTCTTATTGGTCTTACGTTAGCTAGGATAGAAATCTTCAATTAAAGGTCTCTATTGTCATCTCCTTTAATGTTCAATCTACGCCGAATTTCGAATTTTCTTGGGCCATTTTTAATACCTCATTTCTGGCCTTTAACCGTACCAAAAAGGTTCCTTTCTGAAGTAAATAATAACTTAAAACAAAGTTTAATTTATTTAGTTCCATATATTTATTTAAACTTTCTCTAAAATTACATTTTTAAATACTACAGTATAAAAATAATATTTAAAAATATAAAAATAGGAGCCGACCAGTAGCGGGAGCATGGTCCAAGCTACCGGTGGTTAGGGCTCCAGAGACAGAAACCTCCTCACAATGCGCGCCGTTTCAAGGAGAACTGCCTTCTGTATCAGGCCCTTGACCCAACTGCCTAACGCTAGCCTCCTAAGGTGGTTGTCGAGGCTATTAGGGATTAACCCATTGGCCGACACGACTATCGGCACAATGATAGCCGAATCTACATTCCACATGTCGACAACCTCGTGAGCCAAATCAAGATATTTGATTTGTTTATCTTTTTCAGCTTTCACGAGGTTCTCATCATGAGGAATAGTGATATCGATTATCATCGTGCGGCGCACTTGTCGGTCTATCACCACTATATCAGGTTTGTTGGCTATAATAGTCCTGTCAGTGATGATAGACCGGTCCCAGTACAACGTGATATGGTCATTTTCCAGAACTGGGTCGGGCATATACTGAGTGCCCGACCCACATACTGGCACTTATTTAGTTTATTATTAATAGTTTTGGTGTTTGTATTTTAATATTAACCTTTACCTAGACATTCGGAGAAGAACAGACGGAATATAAAGACGATATGCATCAAAGTCAGACATTAAAGAAAATGTAGCGTGCTACAAAGTACGAAAGTTAAAAATAGTTGAACTCTATACCTACCCACATAACACTCATATACGAAAAGCAACGGTAAAAATATGAGACATAAAGACTGTTTTGGGATGATTTTGTGAAAGTATTCCATCGAATGCAAACCAGGCTGAAATCTTCTTTATAATGACTTGCTGAATTTTGTATTTTGCGAGTCATAATGTCTTTGAACCTGAATCTTTGATAATGTGATGTGAATGAATCATTTATTCAGCTATTTGGTATACGAATATTGTTTTATTATACATAACTGTATTTGATATTTATTATAGACTTAAATGTATTGTAATGGACCTTTAGATTGGCCATAAATTGGAATTTGTTTAGAACTTTAGACTCACTCTATCAGTGTTCTAAGGTCATTCCTCTGAATCGAACGAATATGCGCTTTGTTTATTTTCGAAATTATCAGTCGTAGCTTGAATTGTAGCGCTAATGTTTGGCAAAACTCACCTTTGATTGACTACCACATGACAAAACTCATATTTGTAAACTAATACTTATTTACATCTGTACTTACCTATGAACAGAGAGTAAAGTTCCCTAAGATCAGAAAAGTAGGAGCCAGGCGAGATACTGCCCCACAGTCGTATGTTGGGATTTTCAATGCATTTTATTTTGCGTTTAAACTTCACAAGCGCGATCTAGGATTTGTGTGACGTCATCAATAAATTTCATCGTGTCGAATCTTCTATGTGCGTCGCTACCCCACTTTCACGCTTAACTAATTAAATAGTGGTGTAATAATAGGGTAGATGACTAATTTTTATTTTAATGTCCGTCTGGTAGATTATTTAAAAACATTAGAGACATTTTTTTAATTTTCTTACATAAACGAATAGTTTCGAAGATATATTGATTTGAAATATCGCATGACGTCACTTTTAAATGATTTATACCCTAAAATGACGTAGCTACCGCCCTATCCAATCCTAAACTATGAATCGTTTTATCTAAATTGTTTTCACAAACGACAAAATAAAAAAAGTGTCTAATAATCTTTCATTACCTAACTGACGGACTAATTAGATTTTTACATACCCTGTCATCGTCCCTATTATGTATAATACACCTACACTTAAAAAAAATCTTAACCTACTTAAACTGTCGCGGAGAACCTAACGGGTAACCGGGGCTCCGGCTCGACGTGCAGGAGAAGGAACGGGGTGGTTTTTAGTCAGTAAGAGTCTGACACTCCCTTCCGCCTCACCCAGGCGGGAGCAGTCATTCGATGATTTTCCCCCCTTAAAAAAAAACCTACTTAAACTGTTCAGCCAATCTCCTTACTCCTTTCTATATGTAATATTATTTTGTTCCAGAACTATTCGCAACATTGCGTGCATATGAACGTGTCCACTGAGCGGATATGGTGTTACCTGTGCGAGAAAGAGGTCCACATCAGAGCAGCGCTGGCATATGCGGTCAGTATCTATCAGATTACAATATGTAATATTAATAGTACTTTCACAGCCTATTGCAGTTTTGATACTAGTAACGCTTATGAGGCCTTTAGAGGAGATTAAGGCTTTGACTGACAATAGAAAAATGTTGAAGGTATCTTTAATCTTTCGCTTATGTCTGTCACCGGTGACCCCCTATGGCGTTAAATGCGTTAACTTATACCAACCCTTGGAAATTTTATGCCGACTATTAAACAGGCTACAACACAGCGTTTTACGTTTAAAACTAGAGGGAAACCAACTGGGGAAACATCAGCAGTTGCAAAAAATTGCATTCATTATCATTGTCAAAAATAAATCGAATGAATATTCACAAATACCCGAAGTCACTTTGTATAGTCTCGGCAAAATAAAGTACTAATTATAAAGATGTAGACGTGTTGTATATAAACATGTGTAAGTAACATTACATAAAATAACGACTATCATCCCCGAAAGGGTAGGCAGAGGTGCACATTACGGCACTGAATGCAACTGTATGCACCCACTTTTCACTATTTATGTCGTGAGCCCCATGTAATACGGTATTTCACAACTAGTCAAATTCAATACTTTTATTGAAACGTCAAAAACGATATTGTTCTATGAATTTTGTATGAAAAACTAACTTATGACATCACCATATTTTCGAGACAAGGAGCACAACTATTTCTAAAAACTTTACAAGAATAAATCGAACTTGAAGGATATCGCCAAATCAATAAATGAAAGTGTAATTATTTTCAAATATTTAATGGGATTGAAAAATGAAAATAATTAATTTTCACCCAAGAAAGTACCCATTTGTGGGTAAGCCTATATAGCAAGTAACATTATGCATATGAATGCAAATACAGATGGTCAAGTGTAGTCTGTAGTCTCAACATGTTTTGCCACATTGGTCGAGTTTCCACAGAATATTAGACCGTATCTAAGCACTGATTCTATCAATCCATAATATGCCGTCAATTACTTATCCAAATCTCTTCTATGTGCTTTTGTGAGAAAATAAACAAGCTATGCTATGCTAAGCCTTTCTAGAATAAGGCCGGGAACAGAATATGAGTGTGAGTGCACTTCTTCAACAAGGGTAATTGAAGACGCTGCCTATTCCTTCCTGTGTGCACTCTGCATCAATCAGATTAACTCAGTGCAGGACGATCCTTCGTAGGATAAGGTCGGGAACTGTCTGATTATAAAGTTGCACTTCTTTGATACAGTTAATTTGAAGTATAGTGTGAATTAGGGTGTTTTTTGTTTATTGGTGGACTTGGGTACGCTTTCGGAGTTTACAGGTAATATAAGAGACTGAAGTTACCAGGGATTTTTAAAACTAACTATGTTCTAAAGTGCGTTGACCTCTTGGTGAAAATTGCTCGACTGATTTGATTTCAAATCTGTTTGATTTTTGCCCAACACAATGATTATGACAAACAAATCCCTAAACAACATGTTTAGTAATATTTTGACATGACAAATTCTAAATACAATTGTCTTAATAAGTAAGTACAATTAGGAAAAAAATTATAGGCAAGGGCTATGGACCAAGAAAAAAAACTTCAATTCTTCAACTAGTTAGATTCGTGGGGCCCAGTATCAATTCCCAGAATGGGGAAGAAACCCATGTCCTAAGTTTCATAGATCTTTTTGCTATATGCATCCATAAAAGAACTGAGAAGTTAAAATTAATCATTATTTATTTATTAAACGAGTCTTCTGTCCCTGTATCCAGGCTAGTCCAGACACGACGTGCGTGGAAGGTCCAGGTCGGCTGGGCAGCGTAGGCCTGAGCATGGCGGACGATGAGCTCGACCCTGACACGCAGGACATGGACTATGACGATGATGCGAGGCCTAGAGGTATGTAAAGAATAGAAAAATGATTGTTTAATGATAAGAATCTTTGTTCCTTTTAACGACCAAAATAAACCTCTTGAATGCAGTTATATGGGACCATAAAAAATACATTGTGCGTCGCTAAGTACATTATGTGTCAAAAATACATTCGTTGGCAAACAATGATTAATCTATCTTATACTATTACTAGCTTTTACCCGCGGCTTCGCTCGCGTCACAAAAGGATAAAAAGTAGCCTATGTGACATATACCAATACATACAGCGCCATCTATACCAATACTTTTGTTTTCCCTCGGGAATATAAATTTTTTTTGGGATAAAAAGTACCCTATTATTTAATCCAGACTACTAACTTTACGTCTGCAAAAATTCAATGCAATCGGTTTAGTAGTTACGGCGTGAAGTCGGAACAAACAAACTCACTTTCCGATTTATAATATTAGTAAGGATATAAAGCGGAAGAGTTTGTTTTCTTGTTTGTTTGTTTGTTTGAACGTGCTAATCTCCGTAACTACAAGTCTGATTTGAATAATTATTTTTGTGTTGGATAGCTCATTTATCGAGGATGGCTATAGGCTATAAAACATCACGCTACGACCAATAGGGGCTGAACAGAGCGTATGAAACCGCGCAGAAGTAGCTAGTGGTTTAATAACTGATATAAATTCAGTATCTCTAGATAGGTTATAGATAGATATGTGAGGTTTATTATGGAAACTCAATAGGTGTCAAGATTCTGTCTAAACCTAGAGATTTTAGACTGAAATATGTTATTATTTTCGATGGTAAGCTAATCAACTTCGAAAAGAGACAATTTTCTATTAATCACATGTTTTTAAAGATTGTAAAATCAATAGTAAATGTATTTTAATTTTAATCTTTACAGAGTATTTTATTAAACTAACTAACTACTTAACATGTATTGTGCAGTCAAATAAGTTTTGTACACAAAACCCTAAATTACTAATGCACATAAATTAAAATTCTTCGCTGAAACGTATGTACAGTGTACACACGTGGTATATGAACGACTGCATCTAATCGAATAATAAATCACTACATATAGTAGTATAAAACAAAGTCACTATCCACAGTCTGTCTGTCCCTAGGTATGCTTAGATCCCGCCCGCCCCGGCTTCGCACTGGTGCAATATGAATGTATTATACACATAAAGCTTCTTTAAAAATCAGTCTATTAAAAATCGCATCAAAATCCGTTGCATAGTTTTAAAGATCTAAGCATACATAGGGACAGACAGATGGTGGATAGCGACTTTGTTTTATACTATGTAGTGATTTAGTATTGTGAGAGATGAAATTGATTGAATACTCATGTGGTTTATAATCGGCACATATGATGTGCTCAGAGCCATATTAACCCTAACAAAATTAGGTTACGTGGTATTCCATAGACTTTGTCTGCACGGTTGGCGCGCTGGCTGGGCAACAACTGGCTGCCGCGCAACGTGTCGCGGGTTCGATTCCCGCACGGAACAACTCTTTGTGTGATCCACAGATTGTTGTTCCGGGTCTGGGTGTCATGTGTATGTGAACTTGTATGTTTGTAAACGCAACCACGACACAGGAGAAAATCCTAGTGTGGGGCAACGGTTTTTTTTTTTAAAAAAAAAAGGGGGCTAGCGCCAAGCCGTCTATATACTGGTTGCCTAGGGCTCTCTCTAGGTTTAATCTGCCCGTAAATATGTTTGTTTTCACCCAATATTAAGCCTTGAATCATTAAGAATAGGGTGCATTTTTAGTTATGTTATATATTTGTTTTTTCTCCTCGGCTTGGTCACTTAGACCCGCATGCGTCAGGTCTGGTGGGGCTGCAGAACATGGGCAACACTTGCTACATGAACGCGGCGCTGCAGGCGCTCAGTAACACGGCGCCGCTCACTTCATACTTCTTGGAGTGCGCCGCCGCCGTAGCTGTGTTGGCGGCTGATAAGAAACCTGGGATCAGCAGGTATGGATAATACTTTTTTATTTACGTAGTTATTGATGGAGTGATTGGAAATTGGGAGTTATTTATTCAATGACTCGTTGACTGGTACACACGGCCACACATCAATCTATACAAAACCAGTTTATCCTGGTGTCGCGTCGCATCATCTTTCCGCACATTTAACGTTCAGTTTATACTGGTTATGTAAAGCTCGATGTGTAGCCGTGTGTATATGCAAGCAAAATGCGGAAGTGCAAATTTCTTTCTGTAGAAAGTTTCTGTGCCAGTCATCGAAGCAATAACCTGCATTTATTGATGTATAATGTAATCAATCCGACATGTACTTGTTTATGCCATTGGCAATGACCTTAAATTTTTACCAAAACATGGGACAAATTACCAGAAAATTTAGAACATTTTTGATACTTGCACCGCTATCTAACTCTTTGGGAAATAACAGTACTAATTTACCACATTTTAGGGGAAGGCATTTTCCAAGTAATGTCGGTAAATCTACAGCAAACGTTATGCAGATTGTGCAGTAGTATATCGATTCATTTCTATATGCAGTAAGTGACAATGGCACTGCAGTGTTACTGCCCTCAATCCCGTCTGCGCGATATAACCCATTTGAGGGCCCCGGTCCAATCAGTTGCAATTGTACTTATCATATAGTAGAAACATCTTATAGTAGTAAGATGAGATGGGATCTTTTTTGGAAGGTAGGGGCGTTCTTTCTTTATTAGTTATGTTTTTTTATTCGACACAAAAAAAACCGGTTTCAACGTCTGTCACACAAAATGCTGCTATAGCTTTGTTTAAATAAGGGCCCTCACCCACGACTATCTGTAACGATGCAGTGGCGATGCTGTCGCGCGTTCACTAAAAGCGCAAGAGCAACGCTCTTACGTGTATTACTTTTGTATGCATTTCGCGACTGTATCGATGCGGACGCGGAGAACCTAACGAGTAACCGGGGCTCCGGCTCGACGTGCAGGAGAAGGAACGGGATGGTTTTTAGTCAATAAGAGTCTGACACTCCCTCCCGCCTCACCCAGGTGGGAGCAGTCATTCGATGATTTTTCCCCCTTAAAAACTATCGATGCGCACGCGCGACAGCTTCACCACTGCATTGCTACAGAAAGTCGCCGTGGGCGAGGGCCCTAAGAATAAAATAAAAATAAAATTCTAATTTATTAAGTTACCATCTTACACTTAAAATAACATGAAATTCGTTCTAGTGCTTTTAAAAATGTTTTGCTCATGTTATGGTATAGGAATTATTTTACATATTATGTATTGTATTATGTTAACCTTTGTTACAGAGCATACCAAAAATTAGTAAAAGAGATGTGGAGTAGGAAGACAAGAGGCTATGTTGTACCAAATGGTATCCTGTACGGGATTCGGAATGTGAGTAACAAGACTTATTAATGAAAAACTAACCTTAAAAACCAGTTTCTTAGAATCCAGTTTATATTATACAAGTATTAGTAAAAATAATTTATTTTAATTAGACCAGAAAGGCACTTTTAGCGTCAGCAATAAAATTAAAAGTGAAGCTATTTGCTAATTCCAAGGTTGTAGGTGCCTATGGGGAAGAAACTCCATAGGTTAATCTTTTTCAATCTTTTACCATCTGTAGCACCACAAACATCAATTGATTTTACCAGAACTTAGAATATTTTACATTACAGAGTAGTGATACCTAAAATCACACAAATAAATAATGAACTCTAATACCAGCATTTAGAGTATATTTCACATTACACAAGTAGTAGTAAGTAATACCATTTTTATCCCAGGTGCACCCGATGTTCCGAGGCTACCACCAGCATGACACACAAGAGTTCCTCCGGTGCTTCATGGATCAACTCCACGAAGAACTTAAAGAACCGGTAAGTACTAACTAATATAATTATCACTACATCACTACATGTAGTGAAGAGTCTGACACTCCCTCCCGCCTCACCTACGCGGGGGAAGTCATTCGATGATTTTCCCCCCTTAAAAAAGGCCCACAAGATATATTCAGAATACATTAGAACTATGTCGTCAACAAATACCAAATTGTATGTCAAATGTTTTGCTTCTTTTTCTTAGTCTGGATACAAGACAATGAATTATGTACATCTTATCGTAAAGCAATCCGTGGTTTTCATTTTTCCAATTTTTTTTCATGTGGTGGCAGAAAACATTCTAAGGAAATCTAGACTTTTAGCCTCAAGCACACATCACAATCAATACTTTTACCTTGTCCTTTATAAAAAGTGGTATTTACCAGCTATCGGCCAATTTAGAGGCTGAAAAGAGGTATTTTCTCATAGATTAGCAGGTTTACAGGCTGATTTATAAACTCAATGTGTCCTAATCAGGTGTGGGACAGTACATCTGAAGACAAGTTAGGTTCGGAAGCAGACGGCGACCACCAAGAGACCCGCTCCGTACACATACGACGACGCGCCGCCTCCTCCGGCGGTGAGTTCCACACTGACTATGCGTGTATGTAGACTATTTTATTTTTATTTGCGCTTTCTCATCTCACCATTCAATAATGAGCCTTAAGTTGATTGACATAAGTTTGTATTCAACTACATAAACATACTATGAGTATGTAGACGCTTTTATTTAACAAGCATTGTCTTTGAGAAGTTTAATTTTCTAACTCAGCATCTACATTGGATTATGAACCTTATGTTTAAATAAGTAAGTTACTATTTAGCACTTTTGAGTAGGTATTGTAAAAGTTAATAGATACATATTGACTTTTTTTGCACCCATCACGATTTTTACTTTTGTATACTAGCTTATTAGAGTAGAAAGTTTGCTCAGCTGCCTTTTTTTTAATTAATTTTTTTGTTCATTTTCATTCCCATTCATTGCATGCATTTTTAATTCTGAACCTTACACTCATTATCTTAAAGTTGCAATTACATTTTTAACAGCGAGTGACGCGCCTTTCTTCGCGAGGATGAGGCGAAAATCTCCAGCACCATCATCGTACAGTGAATCTAGAACTGACGGGTACTTGAGGTAAATAGTCACTGCTATAAATACGTAGGTCACTACAAAAGTTTTGTCGTACTCCGTGAAATATTATTTTTTTTCGAAGTATTCTCCATTGGCACTTAGGCAGGTCTTCATACGTGCAAACCACGTATCAAAGATGTCGCTCCAGAATCCTTCCTGCACACTGCTGCATATCTCCTCAAAAGCACCTAAAAGTTGGTCATCATTAGTAAACTTGCGGCCTTTTAGTTGCTTTTTTACATATGGGAACAGGCCAAAATCACACGGTGCTAAGTCTGGGCTATAAGGAGGGTGTCCCAGTAATTTGATCCCAGTTTGACTCAGATAGTCCACAGTTTTGCCGGCTCGATGCGCGGGAGCGTTATCATGATGCAAGAACCAAGTGTCGAGTCTTGAGTTTGGACGTTCATTTTTCAAAGATTCTAAAACTTGAGGTAAACATTTTTCAGTGTACCAGGCAGCTGTCACAGTCTTCTGTTTATCAAGCACAATTATTGATAAAATACCTCTTCTGGAGAAAAATACGGCTACCATTCTTTTTTTGACTGACCGGGACATTTTAACGGACGTCGGAGGATCTTCGTCTTCAAACACCCACACTTTACTCTGGGATTTAGTTGGAACGTCGAAATAATACAGCCAGGTTTCGTCACCAGTGATAATTGAATTCACATAGTTAGATTTGCCGTCATTGAATTTTTTTAACATTTCTTTACACCATTTGACGCGCTGTTCCCTAATCGCATCAGTTAGCAAATGTGGTACCCAAAGTGAACAAAGCTTTCGTACTCCTAAGTTTTCATGAAGAATTCGATGAATAGTTGGTGCACTTAAATTGAGTGTTTCCTCGATCTGACGGTATGTTACATGGCGATCTCCTTCAATCACTTTTCGCACAGCCACAATATTCTTATCAGTGGTTGCGTCAATCGGCCTGCCCGGTCTTGAATCGTCTTCTAAATTAAAATTGCCGCGATTGAATTGTAAAAACCATCTTTCTATAGTCCTAAGGGATGGACAATTATCACCCAACACACCACTCATTTCTTCGAAGCATTGTTGTTTTGATAATCCACGCTTAAAGTTATACAAAATTATCACCCGAACGTCACGACGATTTAAATCTGACATATCCAATTGTTAAAAAATTCACTAAAAAAATACTAAGCTAGTTACTCCAACGAAACTTATGCAAAATATGTTGACATTAGTTGATGTATTAGAATCTACCCTCAGTTGAATTATAACTATTAACTATTTGTCATACGACAAAACTTTTGTAGTGACCTACGTAATTATACTTCAAAGATAAACATTTTGACAACAATGTATAAAGAAATATTTTTTTTCATAGTCAAAGAATTGATTTTGATTAGGCATTTTTGAAACGTCAACAATTGAATTGTCCGTCCGTCCGTCAGTCTGTCAGTGAAGCTAGGCACTCGTTCAAAACATTTTTCGATTTTTTTAATGTCACAGTTTATAAGCTACTCGGAATAATAATACAATTTTTGGTCATGTTTAATCCCTGCCACCTACCATAGCAAAATGTTGTCGTGGTGGGGCTAAGTTCGAGTGTTGTATATTTTCTCATTACATTATGGTTTGTAACAGATGTAATCATACAACTAATTACATAATCGTTACCATGGCAAACTATATTTACACGAATATGGACCTTAATGTATTGAAATATGTAAGAAAACTAATGTGGTAGTGGCTCATTTATTAATTTATTACTAAGTGAGCTATGTTTGATTCAGAGTACAGACACAGGAGCCAGTGACGACTCGACACCGACGGTCCGCGAGCTTCGCGGGGACTCATCATCTACAGTACAATATGTACAGCCAACAGACTAACGGTACATACCTATATAATATTTTTTTTTATCAGACTTCAAAACAAGGTTTTTTAACAGACTTCAAAACAAAGTTCAAGGTTTAACCTGTATGTGTGTATGTATATATGTTGGTGCGCCATTATCACGCTATTAGCTTGACCGATTTTGATATGGGTTCCAGAAAAGTGTTTGTTATACTTATAGTCAGAATTTTAATTAGATTCCAGATTTGACAATAGCTACTGTCATTTTGTGAAATAATGATACCACATATAATAGTGTAGTGATGCACACAAAAATCGATAAACAATCAGTGTGTTTTATAATAAAGTGACAGGATAGCGATAGCGATGACGGCGACAATTTATAAAATAACTTATTACCATAATACATCTATCTGTTTTATTTGTCATGTTCCTTCATGATTACATTTATTTTTTATTTCACACACAATTATACAAGAAACCTCTCAGATCGTTAATTAATCGTCAAAACTAAATTATCGGTTCAGAAATATTTAATTTCCTGATATACTTAGTTCACGAGAGTAAAATTATAATTATTATAAACGAGAAGAATCGATCCAGAAATATTGCATTTCCATATCGAATAATTTCGCAACGTCACTATTTAGTACTTGTCATAACGTTGCAACACTGAAATTGTCAAATCTGGAATCGAATTAAAATTCCGAGTATAGGAGGTTTTAGTAAAAGGAGGTCGGTTTTTTAACGACGTTTATGAAATAATTATTTTTGTCATTATTTTGAGATTCTGCTCTATTGTTGGAGATGATATAACATAACATCACGCCTTTTATCCCCGAAGGGGTAGGCAGAGGTATACATTATGCCATTGTACAATGTAAAACCTACTTTGTCGCGTTCGATTTCGATTCCCACACGGAACAATACTTTGTGTGATCCACAAATTGTTGTTCCGGGTCTGGGTGTCATGTGTATGTGAACTTGTATGTTTGTAAACGCAACCACGACACAGGAGAAAATCCTAGTGTGGGGCAACATTTTTCTTTAAGTTTCGAATGGAGCAAGAAACTCCTTTGTTAAACTTCACAGACATCTTTCATTAACATGCAAATGTTTTAAGATTTGGCTCAAGATAGATACTTTTTTCTAACCTGATTGTTTCTATGATCCTAGGGACAGAAACCCTCCGGAATCAAAACCAAGGGCTGTGTGGCTCCGAATCATCTCTGTCGTGGTCAAGTGAGGCGGAGGAGCGGTACGAGACCTGTTCCAGTGGAGCTAGCGACGCACCCGATACTAGGAGCGAACAGTTAGTATACAAGATAATTATATTATACATAATACCAAAAACTACATTTAGGTAACAAGTGCCTACTGCTCAAAAGGTGTTGAACAACATAACATAACATCACGCCTTTTATCCTCGAAGGGGTAGGCAGAGGTGCACATTATGTCGCTGTACAATGTAACACCCACTTTTCACTATTTATATTATGAGTCACATGTAATAGGGAGTGAGCCTATTGCCATATAGCGGGCACAATGCCAGACTCCGTGCTACTACTGACATTTTTTTTAAAACCCAGGAATACTTTGCGCGACCCGGGAATCGAACCCGAGACCCCTTGCCTGGCAGTCGCACTTGCGACTACTCGGCCAACGAGGCAGTCAGGTGTTGATGAATTTCTACTAGATTATGAATGAAATAACATCAAAAGTCTTTGACAGTATACCGCCAACGAAAACCGCGACTGTGGTATCGCCCGACTCCTGTATTAGAGGGCTTTCTACAAAAGTGCTAAAAGCGTTTCTATTTCACGGTCTAAACCAGTGTGTACAAGGTCTTTGCGTCAATTTTGTTACATCTTATACGATTATTTTACCTAGGTTTTGAAACAATTGCATATAAATTTAATAAGGTTATCTAACAACTGCTTGCACAAAACACTTATTAACAAACATAGCAAGCACAGAAAACTGAGTAAAGATAGCTCAACATAACTTACAAAAATGGTTGAATATACCTTTTTTAAACTTGATAATTTAAGTTTTGTAGTACTAAGTTAAGTATTTACTTACTTACTAAGTATTTATTTTTATTACTTACTAAGTTTTAAGTATCTATCTTAAGTATTTACTTACTAAGTATATACTAAGACTCGTTTCTTCTCTCCAGAAAGGGCCCGGTCCCACTAGGCGGTGGTGACGGGGGCGGCGGCGTGAGGTTCCGGAGCGTCATCTCTGATGTATTCGACGGGAAATTGCTGTCTTCCGTGCAGTGTCTTATCTGTAATAGGGTACGTATTGCGATATAACTCGTATGGAGGTGCCAGATTATTTTTCACCTTACGTAGTAGCAATAAAGTTACTTATTCGTTCTTCTCTATACTGATCTGATCTTGACTGCACGGTTACGTGTCGCGGGTTCGATTCCCGCACGGAAAAACACTTTGTGTGATCCACAAATTGTTGTTTCAGGTCTAGGTGTCATTGTGTATATGAACTTGTATGTTTGTAAACGCACCCACGACACAGGAGAAAATCCTAATGTGGGGCACGTTTTATTAAAACAAAAACGTTGTACAAATCTTCGTTTTGGATCATGTAACTAGTTTCATTTATTGATGGATTATGTTTCAATGTTTTAAAACTGTTTTTATGTCCGTATATCTAATTTATCATAATATCACGCCTTTCATCGCCGAAGGGGTAGGCAGAGGCACTTAATGCAACTGTACAATGTAACACCCACTTTTAACTATTTTATATTACGAGTCCCATGTAATAGGGGGTGAGCTTATTGCCATATACCGGGCACATTTCCAGACACCGTGCTACAACAGAGAATTTAAAAAGAAATCCCAATAAGACTGCCCGACCCGGGAACCGAGACTGCAGGGCAAAGGGCCCGGCAGTCACACTTGCGAAAACTGGGCCTTTAGCCAAATGCCACTTTAGCGCTTGGCTACAGAGAGTAGAAATCAAAATTTATGGGGATGACACTGACAAGTGTCAAAACTTACGTCAATTCCATATAATTTGATTTTCTATTCTACATGTAGACAAGTGCTAAATGGCATTTGGCAATTAAGCATTTAAAAAAAAAAAACAATTTTTATTTTTACGGCATAAAACAAAAGATATGTTGATTAAAATGCTTCGAATTTCATTGTAAATGAGTCTAAAATATAAGGGACAGATATTTAAGATATTATTTCCATTATGGCAGGTGTCGACGCGCGTGGAGACGTTCCAGGACCTGTCCCTGCCGATCCCGTCGCGAGAGCATCTCGCCGTCATCCGCTGCCAACAACCCATACTCAACCATCACGTCTCACATGCCACGCAGGAGTCATGGGTCAGTATTTAGTTATTTTTCCCCTAAATCTATACTAATATTATAAAGAGGAAAGATTTGTACCTTTTTTGTATGTTTGTAATGAATAGTCTCAAAAAGTACTGGGCCGATTTAAAAAAATATTTTACCTATAGAATGCTACATTCTTCCAATTTGACATAGGCTACATTTCATTTTGATAAAAAAATAAGGATCCTTGGTAAAATTTGAACAATGTAACCGAAGGTGTAGAAAAATGAGTCTTAAAATGTATTTCGTCGAATGCGCTGCCGAAACTATTAGCGATAGAACAAAATAATGTACAACAATATTGAAGAACATCATAAGGTCTACAAAAAACTCCGCGGTAGCATATGTCCAACTGATGTAGTTATATCACTACACCAATCCAAATTTCCAAAAAATAAATAATTGTCTACCCCGTGCGAAGCCGGGACGGGCTGCTAGTTTTTAATAAATGTAATGTTGGTGAAGGTATGGTGGCTCCTGAGTTGGTTACGGTCGTGGTTCTACGGCCCCGTCGTGTCGCTGCAGGACTGTCTCGCTGCATTCTTCAGCGCTGACGAACTGAAAGGCGATAATATGTACAGGTACGTGAAACTTGTAAATGTAGGGGAGGCTAAGTTGGGAAGTAATAAAGATTGATTTGATTAACACACGCCAATATGATATTGTAGTTATGCTACGAGAGAATTGATCTATCTATTTATATAAATAAAAATGATTATCCATTCGTTACTGTCGTATAAATTCCAGAAGGACTGAACCTATATCAATATCTGTGGAAGTCCAGAGAAGGGTTAAAGAGTGAGGAATCAGTCGGAAAAACTATTTTTTGAGGCGATACGAAGTTTGCCGAGTCAGCTAGTAAAATGAAATAATTATTATAAAAAGGACCACTTTTGCAGTTTTTTATATCTTTAACAACATGTACCGGTTTACATAATGCATCACATAATAAGAGTTAGACATTGGCGATTTTTTCCATACATCATAGAGGAGTTTGTGTAGCAAAAGCTGTATGGTTTGTCAAATTGCAATATGTATTATTGTAATTTGCACTCGTAAATACTCGTACATAAACTAATATCTATTTAATCTGGTGAGGCAGAGGTTAAACGTCGGCGCAACAAATATAAATAGCAATCTTTTCGCCTTATCGTTACCTACTTCTTTAGCTTCCATCATATTTGGGTGTTTCTTCGAAACCTAATATTTTACAAATATTAGGTTTACTCATAGTATAGTAGCACTAACACCTATTTTTTTTTTTTTTGAAGAATCATTGATTTACCTATCTATAGTAAACAAATAAATATGAATATTAACATAATATATTCGTTCAGTTGTTCCCGCTGCAACAAGCTCCGCAACGGAGTGAAGATGTCGGGCGTGGTCCGCCTGCCCGAGGTGTTGTGCGTCCACTTGAAGCGGTTCCGACACGAACTCATGTTCAGCGCTAAAGTCGCTGCACGGGTGTCGTTCCCTATACACGACCTCAATATGGCGCCCTACACGCATAAAGGTTGGTTACTTTTCTATTTATTGAATGATATTGGGTTAAAATTATAAGCTTAGCCGGACGATCTCCGGACACGTGTGGCGCGTCGGGTTCCTAGCGCGCCTCAAAGCGCAATAGAGCTGATGCCGATATGGAGCCGCGGAGGACTTAACAGGTTGCCGGGGCTCCGGTTCGAAGTGCAGGAGTAGGAACAGGGTGGTTTTTAGTCAGTAATAGTCTGACACTGACGCTCGGGTGAGGCGGGAGGGAGTCATTCGATGATTTTCCCCCCTTAAAAAAACCCCGTGGTATGCCGGAACCCGGAACGCATATCCACGCGAGACACAATGTGTTTTCTATTGTGTCTCATTTACTGGCATTCAAGCGGTTGATCTATCAAAGTTAAAGGTACAAAGTATTCAGTGACATTATATGTGCATATTTAAAGTTGTAATTAGTTATTGTCTAAAAATATGAAATTCAATGTATTTATTTTGAAATTTCAGTGTCATTCTATTTAAACAAAACTAAAAAACGATTGAGTATAGAATATTTATCATAACAATGGAATACACAAAATGCCTAGGGCCTTTAAACGGAAATTGTCTTCGAAAAGATCAAATCTTGTTTTATTAGTCCCGCTTATTTGATCCTGACCTTTTATTTGACGACCTTGACGTTTGTCTTAGGTTGGTCTTTTTTATGAGATTAGCACGTCACCTAATGGTAAGCAATCGGCGTCGCCCATGAACACCCGAAATACCAGAGGCGTTACAAGTGCGTTATCGGCCTTTTAGGGACTAGGAATTTGAGGGTTGTTGGGGATTCAGAGATTAGGGAGATCGGGGAGGGGGCTAATTGGGCCTCCGGTAACCTCACTCACAATAAGAAACACAATAGAAGCGTTGTTTCACGTCGATTTTCTGCGAGCCCGTGGTATCACTCCGGTCGAGCCAGCCCATTCGTGCTGAAGCAGAGCTCTGCCACACTGAAACTTACCTACTTGTCTGTGACTGATACGACATAACTAAACTTATCCCTTAACCCCACAGACTGCACATCAAAAATAACCCGGTACGAGTTATGCGCGGTGATCTGCCACGCGGGCACCGCCGGGGGCGGGCACTATACTTGCGTGGCGCGCAACGGACGGAACTGGTACACCTTCGATGACCACTGCGTCACTCCACTGCCTTACCATCATCTGCCGCATTGCGAGGCTTATGTGCTGTTCTATAGGTATGTTGACTTTCTATAATAACTATAGTGAGATATACAAGGTGTAGTTTTGAAGCCGTGTTTTTTCTCGGGAGCATGTCACAGAAGTCATAAACGTTCAAGGTAAGAGAAAGTTTCGGGCCAATAGTTAAAAATACGGCTATAATAAATCGTTTAAGTTCGACAGTATTTCAGAATAAGCGACGGCAATGTTTCTTATTGGAGTTTTATGGAATTAGGAATAATATCATTTACGTGTTTGAGTTTGTGTGTGTTAAGCCGCGTTATAAAAACCAGTTATAAGGCGGCGGCGTGTAGTTTGCACTTACGGATGTCGGTAATTTACAGAAAAATGAAAAATATTTACCTACAATTATTTTTATTGATTCGGACCTAAATTGATAGCCGAGTTACCTCCTAGAAAATGACGCGGCTTTAAAACAACACCTTGTATACCCCGTACTTCCTTTGCATTGTTCTCACATATACGTACAATATTGGAATATGTATCAGAGACATTGTAGAACATACTTTTTTAAAAAGAGTAACAAATGGAGTTTTTTGCTCGTTCTTCTCCATTCGAATTTACATTTTGGAATGAGCACCTAGCTTCACTGACGGACTGACTGACAGACTATTATTTATTTTGTATTTGTTGACGTCTCAAAAGTACCAAATTATGGTTTGACTTTGAGACGTACAAAATTAACTAAAAACCGCGAAACTAGTAGAGCTTTTCTCTGTATATTCACATGAGTAATCCGCAATTTTTAGTTAATGTTGGGTTTCAAACATTGGACCTTAATGTAGGCCATTTTTGTTTCTTTATAAATAATAAATTATGGATTTGGCGGTACAAAAATATGGTAAAAGTGTACAAATTCAATGTAACATTCACTTTTAAGAATATTTTGTTATAAATTTCACATAATAGGTCCAGCCTAAGTGTCCATAAGAAATTTCTTATGGACACTTAGGAAAGTGTCCATAAGAAATTTCATAACCTTGTTGAACTGCAACTTCTCTCTTTGCAGTTCATAGTAGTAATCTTTCCTAGTACAGATTAGTTAAAAGAGAAGAGGCTATATGCTGTTTGTTCAATTAAATGGTTACTTGCTTCTTGCTCAAATTGTAGCATTTACTCTTCTCTGCATCACACAGAAAATGCCTGCAGCATTAAGACCACTTGTGCAGGAAGCGTAAATAAATAAATATATTGTACTTTGTGCATGAAGCGAAAATAAATAAATTGTATAAGTGCTCTTTTGTGGATTAAAAGCCATGATCTTATGCCACTTTATGAAGGTTCTAACTAATAAATGTAGCAGTGGTCGTGAATAAATCATGTTTATTGAAACAGGAAAGTGAATCCTCAAATGGTGGCGTTACGTCAGAAGGCCGCCGAAATATTGGAGTCTACCAGCATCGAGCCCAATGATATCAAGTTCTACATCTCCAAGCAGTGGATTAACAAGTAAGAATAACCATAACATCATATAACATCACGCCTTTTATCCCCGAAGGGATAGGCAGAGGTGCACATTATGCTACTGTACTATGTAACACCCACTTTTCACTATTTATGTTGAGTCCCATGTAATAGGAGGTGAGCCTATTGGCATATACCGGGCACAATTCCATACTCTGTGTTACTACTAAGAAGTTTTTTAAACCCAATAATACTTTGCCCGACCCGGGAATCGAACCCGAGACCTCTTGCCCGGCAGTCGCACTTGCGACCACTCGGCCAACGAGGCAGTAAGAATAACCATAACCAGAATAACATAAATAGTGAAAAGTGGGTGTCACGTAATGTGCACTTCTGCCTACCCCTTCGGGGATAGAAGGCGTGATGTAATGTGAATCACCATCCATCTTTATAATTTTAGTACGTATTCTAAGTTTTTTGTTTCACCTCTGTAATCATAATATCATTACATTTTTAGTTTTGGCCATTATTTATGTTTCTTTTGTTAGGGAGCGTTCAAGTATTACGTAACGCAATTTTTGAAGATTTTTGGCCCCCCCTCCCCCCACTGTAACGCTCCGTAACGTTTTTCTGTACCCCCCCACCCCCCTCTCTTAAGGTTACGTAACACTCAAGTCATCATTTTTACCCTGAAGTCGCAAAAAGTTTTTTTTTTTTTAAATCTTTATTTAATAAGAAGGGCTTTTTTCCGTAGAGGAAAATGTCAGCCCTATTATAGGATACAAAATTCAATACAAAAAATAAAGCAGCTAAACCTTTTGTAGGTTTAACTATCCCTTAAGCTCAAACACAAATTAATTAAACTATACAATTTTTTAGCGTCGGATGACAATGGTGACGCTAAAACACTGTTATAAAAACCAATATTAAGGCACTTAAAAGTAAAAACCTGATTCCTCTGAGACTCAATACGTCGACACTCATACAAAATGTGTTGCACATCCTCTACAACATCACATACAGCACAATTTGGTGATTCGACTTTACGCATCATGAATCCGAAACTATTAAGAGGCATGTGTCCAGATCGGAGCCTTAAAGCTGTGACGATATCTTGTCTACTCAACCCGCCTTCACCGAACCAGAGGGCACGAGGAAGCGTCGGTTGTATTGTTTTATACCAAATGCCTTTAGTAAGTGACCTTTTGTCAAAGTATTCTGACCATACTTTATAGCAACTTTCTCTTACTAAAGGCTTCAGTATGCCACAGAGCACAAGTATAAACCTCAAATCGCAAAAAGTTGTTATAGTTTTTATCCTTCGTATAGTTTTAATTGCCTTATAATGAAACAAGAGATTTTTAATTCGCAACACCTGCGTATTTTGTTTATTTTTTTATAAATTTTTGGCTTTACAAAACACAATTGTTTTTCTCCTTCATTCTCCTAAGTATTTTAGCTTTTTTACTAATAAATTCTTCAAATAAAATAACATATTTATTTTAACCTTTGGCAATGCAATTATAAACAGAAACCCAACTGAAATTAAACATTTTACTCGAAATAAAATCGTATTCTTAACAAAATTAAAAAATAATCAACTATTAATCAAGTATCTAAGTAGGTCTATAAAAACAATTCGATTGAAATTACTGCTCCTCTGTCCACGGGTTTGCTAGCCACTCAGATTCTTTCATCACTGGCACCTGGAGTGCAGTGCAGTGGACGTACAATACAATCTAGGGATTCCCCGTGAAATATAAACGAAAAGGTTTACCAACATGCGAGAACAAATTAAAAATGGCGACCAGACTAATACAATCGAGAGATTCCCCGTAAAACGTAAACGAAAAGGGTTGCCAATTTGGGAGTTTTATTTCCCTATTTTTTATATAAAAAAAGAAATAATGTTACGTAACGTGTTGTAAGAAGGACCCCCTCCCGCCCGTGTAACGCATCGTAACGTTTTACGAGACCCCCCCCCCCCCCCCCCCCCCCCCCCCAAATGGCGTTACGTAATACTTGAACGCTCCCTTACAATTTATAGCAGTCATAGATTTTTCATGTGAATTTCTGATAATTTTCTCACGGATGCCAGACAGTAAAAATTTTCACAGATGATGTATTTCTCCTGTGTATTGAGTGTGTTACCTAATTGGGTACTTGCCTCATAATCAAATTCAATACTTTTTTTGTACCGTCAAAAATGACAGTTTTCTATGAATTTTGTATGATATTGTGTATTGTGACGCCACGTTTTTTTTAGCGTCAAACAGCATTATGTACTTATTTCTTAAAAATTTGCATAAAAAGGAACTAAATCTAAGTTGGTCATAAAATCAATGAATGAAAGTGTGATTATTTTTTAATATTTTATGGAAAATAATAATGGTTCCGAAAAACAAATTAATCTCCAGCGATCTATGGCCGACTATAAAAATGGATCTTCGAATAACAAAACTAAACTTTCGACTAGAATATTGAACCTCCGACAAAATTACTAAGTTACCGACAACAGACGTTTTAGATTAGGTTAGTATTGTAACAATAAACAGAATTGTCTTCTTCTTTTTTTGTCGGCGCTTTTATTACTACCCATATTTTATTGTGTTGAACTGTCGAAATAATGTATTGTTGATGAAGGCAAGTACTGAGTGGTACGCCCGCAGGTTCAACACGTGGGCGGAGCCGGGCGCCATCGACAACAGCGACTTCGTGTGCGTGCACGGCGGCGTGCGGCCCGAGCGCGCGCCGCACCTGCACCGCCTCGCCGCGCTCGTGCCGCAGGCGCTCTGGGAGTTCCTCTACATGCAGTGCGTACTCGACAAGTTACTAAATATTATCTTAATAACCTGCCTCGTTGGCCGAGTGGTCTTAAATGCAAGTGCCGGGCAAGGGGTCTCGGGTTTGATTCCCGGGTCGGGAAAAGGAATACTTACTGCATTTTAAAAAAATTCTCAGTATTAGCACAGAGTCTGGTAATGTGCTCGGTATATGAAAATAAACTCACCCCCTATTACATGGGACTCATAACATAAATAGTGAAAAGTGGATGTTACCTCTGTATGCACCTCTGCCTACCCCTTCGGGGATAAAAGGCGTGATGCTATGATGTTGTGATCTTAACAACCGATGTAGACCTTATACAGTTAGATATTAGATACCTGTACTAGGAAAGTCCTGTATCACAGGCGAAAATAGCTTTAACGCTGATTTAATTAACTTTATTTATTTGAGGACAAAGAACTAGGTTTATTAAATTTTGTATTTTATAGATCATAATCAAAGTCCAATAAATTATTTGAATTAGATCACAAAAGCATATTTGAACAACAACAAAAACTTTAAAAGTGAACCTATTTGCCCAGAATGTATACAACATTCTTATGAAAAAGCAAGCAAGCAAGTAACTCCATATACCCTTTTTCAATCAGGTTCACAATACAATTCTCTGGTTACATAGTTTTGTATTTTATTTTAGATATAATATAATGTTGATGTGCAATGCATTGTTTTTTACATTACGTCAACCTAATGTGGCATATTACACGTTATCAAGCAAGCTTCCTTATGCGTACTCCTAAGGAGTAGAATTTTTTTGCCACACTGTATTTCTTGAAGGGTATAACCTGGGTGTCTTCTAGGCTCAAGTGAATAGGTTGATTTAGGGACGACGTGCTCCATCGTAGACTGCATCATTGCTTACTACCAGGCGAGATAGTGGTCAAAAGTCGGTCCAACAAATATAAAAAAAAACTAAATAACATCGTGATGTGACAAGATGTGGACCGATCCATAGGAGAAAATCATAGTGTGGGAAATATTTTTCTAAAAGACGTTTTTCTTAATCCATATTCTTTGTAATCATGTTATTTGAATTTGACTGACTGTTGACTCTTTTACCTGCCCGTATAGTTTCGGCGGCGGCCCCGCCGTGTCGCACGTGCACGAGTGCTGCGTGTGCGCGCGCTGGGCGGCCCGCCTGCGCACGCGCCGCACTAGGGAGCTGCAGGCCTTCTGCGACCTGCACGCTAGCTTCCAGGTACTACATGCAGCTTACTTACCTATTTTGTTACCAACTTGTGGATATTTCCCAACTTACAACACTGATTTCAAACACTAACCATTAACCTGTGGTATGCCGGAACGCAGATGTACGCGAGAGTCAATATGCTGTCTATTATGTCTTATTATACTGGCATTCAAGTGGTTAAGTGACACTTAAAAGTAAGGGGTTGGTTTAGACAAATAGTTTAAACAGTCCATAAGTATTACGTAAATTTACACCACATCAACAGCCTATAAATGCCCACTGGTGACCAAAGGCGTCTTCTCACACGAAGGTTTGAGCATTAATCACCACGTCGGCTATTTCAAACTTATAATTAAAAACTATAAGCCTAGATTTCCTCGCGATGTTTTCCTTGACTGTTTGTCAGTGGTGATCTTGGAAAGTACATATAACTCGGAAAAAAATCATAGGTTTCGAACCCGCACCCTCGTGCATGGGAAGCGCACGTCTTAAACCTGGGCTACATAATAACAAATGTACTAAGTAACAGATCTAAACGTGACAGTAACACACAACAAAACCTTATTAATAAATAAAGTTTTACTTTATATCTCTCAAGTTGTACTAAATCTATGACATAATACAGGAACAAGAGCGTCCGCACGCAATCTACGGTATCAGCATGCATTGGTTCCGTCAGTGGCAGGCCTTCGTACGGAACAAGACGCAGCAACCACCGCCGCCTGTTGACAACTCCGGGATTGTTAGCAAACAGGTAAATGAACCATTCAGTAGGACTCGACTTGGGGAATCAACCCCAATAAGACCCCATGCTTGACAGTCACCTAGGCGACCAGGATAATGATAGAATTTTAACTGTATAGGACTGATGTCAATTGTTATCTCTACTGGCTAAAAGTATAGTCAGATTGTTGAACCTGGCTGTTTAAAAGGTGGAAAAACAGATAACCGTCTGTTATGGTTGTATTTATCATATTGATTTTTATGCATTCCCGAATGAAATCCAGGTCAGAATTTCTAATTATTTGACATTACACGAACTTATTTCAACAGGGATTTCAAGTGCATCGTTCCTAAGTGCGTAAATGTATGTAACAATATTTCCAGGAGGTCGATGGTACGACGACTCTCACAATAAAGCCGGGCTCCGACCACGCGCAGCTCAGCGAGGAACTGTGGCGGTTCTTCACCAGCATATACGGCGGCGGACCCGAAGTACGACTCAAGTCACCCATCAACACGGGCCACCAGGTCATACTCGCCGACAAAGACACCAAAGCACTCGAGACCAGGCGGCTGTCCAGGAAATATTCAGAGTCTGACAGGGAGGAATACTGCACCAAATCCACCTCCGAGATGAACATAAGAGACTCCTTACACGGGGAACTGCAGAAGAATCAATCTCTTCAGAACATTAATCGACGATACAAAACCAAAGCCAATGCTGAGTCCGATGAAGACGTGACGTACAGGCGAGCTAGCTTCCAATACAAGCGCACGGAGACCAACGGGAACTACCCGGAGTCTGACGACGACATGGACGTCAGTCCGCCGCTACACAACTCCGTGTACGTGAACACGGTGCGACTCGAGAACGGACTCGACAGCTCCGACCACGACGCCAACGACAACCCTGTGCCGCACAGGAACACCTCCGACAAAGTGACAGACACTGACTTACCAAATCTAGATAGTATATCGCTGAAAAGCAAGCCCGCCAAAAGCGGCAAAGTGAGAAAAATGAAAAGACGGACAGTCAAATGATTCTTTCTAGCTTTCCAGTTTGTTCACAGGCTGAGGCGAAGGGTCGCGTCAGCTCGCAAACACTACGTTTAACATTAACGTTACATTTTCGAACATTCCTTTTTTCGGTGACTGGTGTTTAAAATACGTGCATTTATAGGTTGGACGAACCTACAAACTCTGGGACTCTGGTCTCTCACTTGTTTCGTAAAAACGGTATTTTTCTAAAGCATTATAATTAAAATCTGCGGCCTCCGCGCCCGGCTAACGGGAGGGTGTTAGTATTTTTAGTACAATTTTAATTTAGTTCAAATTCAGGTATAGAAAATTAGATACTTGAATAAAAATGATGTTATACGTGAAATAATCATCGAACTTGTATATTTACAATAATGAATGTATATCTGTGTAAAATTCAATTGAAGTTAACCATAACACCTACTATGTGTATAGAAATTTCGTGTTTATAGGTAGACTATTATCTTGACTGCATTTCTTTCTTTCCTCTTATTTACCGTGGATTAGGTATTTATTTTGTTATTTCTGGTTCTAAGTCTATGTGTTATTTGTTAAAGAATTGATCAGCAATAAAATATATTTCGTCTATATTGGCTGCATACATTTGTTTTATTATTTAATAACTCATTAGCAAAATACTCTCATTGTATGAATAAGATAATAGCTAAGTCTAGACATAATGACGCATCGTCACAGCGACGTAGCGCACACTGCATTAGAAATCCACTAAAAAGTCTAAATAGTGGGAGGTCATTGACACCGGCACACCGACGTCATTGATAAAGTAATATTTCGCGTAACTACGTAGAGTTGACGCGCGCATAGTTTTTCTTATTTCCTCTGGATGGCAAATAATGGACGTTTAATAGCGACAATTGAGTAATAATGTAGTGTCGTAAATGCGTGTAAAATCAGGCTAACGATACAATGACAACATGATTTATTGCTCACAAGTGTTTAGCGTCAATATATTTTCTTTTTACTATATTGTCTACTGTTATTTTCTATATATTTTATAATAAATATAATTTTCTGAACAAATTACAAAGGATTTGTGGTTTTGAAGACACTAACAAGTGGAATAATAATGAAATGTCTTTGCCCCGGAAACATAACTTAAAAACTCAAACATGTAAAAAATGGCGGGCGGGAAAACAAAACAAAATGGATGTTCCAAATATTTATTACAATGAAGACCATTACATCATGTTATTATAAACCAGGTACAATGTTTATAATTTATTATCATTAGGCTATCCTGCGAGGGAAATATTTTGCGTTAGTAGATGCTGTCAATATACGGCCGTGTTCAAAATCAAGGTTTACGGTGTTTCATCGGGGCTCGGAATGGAAGATAACAATACAAGACCAGCTTCTGTACTCCCCAGGTAGTATTTATATACAAAATTACCAAAACAATGTGCAATTACCCGCGCGTCCATAATAAATGTCAAATAAAGTTACGGTAGCTGCATTGCTGTTAACATTAGCATTACATTTAGCTGTCTGGTAAAAAAATACCATAAAACTTGATTTCCAACACAAATAACAAAAAGAGTTACGTTTTTAAAACATTCAATGTGTATTACTCCGTAAAGCGTAACAAAAATAGATCATTTCTATTAAAATATCATACGTTTCTAAAAATATTAAAATTTTTCATTTTAAATCAATAAATCAACTACATTTTTTAATTATTATAAGGCCCCTATGTATGTACCAAAATTACGTATATCGTATATCTATTGATCATTTTTTACAATTTTTTTTTTGCTACGAGTAAGAGAATACTACTAGACAAAATAGTTTTGTGCCGACTTCAACACCTTGGTGTACACTGAAAGTAATTATGTCACACTGTTAGCAAGATTCATTCAATAATAAAGAACATCTTTCTGCGAATATGTTTGCGAAATGCAGTTTAATTAAAGGCGACGTAAAATATAACATGATCTACAAACAATATTATTCTATCACTCACAGCAGCTTCGTTGCTGTAACCAAAACTTACATAGACAAATTAAAAAAATATTCGAAACTTTACAGAATGTAAGCACAAAATAAAAAATATGATAATAATTATGTATTTGGTATTACACAACATAATTTCGTTTTTACAAAAATATAAATATAATGAGTTACACTCATTAAACATAAAAACTATAAAAAACTGGGGCTACATGAAAAAGGTTAACAATTATGCATAGATATTCCCCAATTCATTAAAATAAAAAAGGTAAACACTTATAGTGTCGCCAAAACAGAATTTATAGTCAATCGACATCTGTTAACTATAAAATGTTAAATAAATAAATACAGGTGAACTTTAATATTAAATATTTAAGTTACATGACAACAAAAACGGCCGTACATGGTAGTCTTTGATATGTTAACTATTTTAATAATTATTTTACAATCTAAAAAAAACTTTATAAAAATATATTGCATTGTGTCGTTGTATATTTATGTATCAATAATAAAATATGAGGAAAAAGTATAAGCGCCGATTTCATCTAATTAGGACCTCGGTAGCCTTATCATGCAAATTAAATAGTCATATTTTTCTTTGTTCTAAATGTAGATAAGACGTTTTTATAGAATTTGCTTGATAAACTTTATCCCCGCCGTTGTAATCCTGCAACAATCATCTCTTTCATAGATTTTAATTAGATGAAATCGCGGTTATTTATACACTATGTGTAGTTTTGTACTCAGGAGTTTGCACCAATCGCTGTAAAACTATTGTTAATCGTCAGATAGGTAAATATCATTCAGTATAACTGCCTATTAGAGAATATAATGTACTGCTATTGTATATGACTAGTGGTATAAGGGCATAGACTGACGCGGGAACTCGGGGTGTTGATTGGCCGTAGCTTAGATGTTAATGTGAAAATATAAACAGAACAAAATCAAAAGATTTGCGAAACAAAAACTACAAGCGACTAACTTATTGCAAAGTTACAAATATAATGGTATTATGCATCTAACAATTGTACAATTTGTTCTGTTTTAGATACGAGTTTAAATTGCATGATCACAGCATTCTAAGCTAAAGCCTTACATACATTTCAAACCAACAAACCGATTGTTTCTCAGTCTACAACCTCGGGAAGGATTTAGCAAAAATATTTCCAACAAATACATACAACAGTCGAAAAACTTAAACATTAACAGTTTCATATAAATTGTATTTATAAAAAACATTTTTGCGGAAATCTTTTCTGATATCTGCTTAAAGGAAATATGTATAATCATCGATCATCGATATACAAAATATATGAAATTTTCTTACTTTTACTTATACCAAATGTGCGATAGGAAAGGTCCTAACATTATTATAGATAAACTTTTTTTTATTTTTATTTTTTTCTTGCATTAACTTTAAAATTCCAGATCTTTCGATTGTAAACTTTGTATTAGCATTAGCTCGATCCGAAAACTATTCCACATTGAACTCAAAGGCCACTCTTATAGAGCACAATAAAATAAAAAGCGAAATTAATAATAATCATACATATTTAACTTGTATATCAATAAAGATTTCGATATGCTTCACACACTTATACATTAAATTAAGACAACGGGTGTTAACTGATTCAACCAGCCCTATGGTCGTGTATTTCTCAAATAGAAAAAAAAACTAATTTTCTCACTAACCTAACATAGTACAATTAAATTTCTAGAAAAGAATAAGTTGCATTTGAGGTAGATTAAATTTTTTACAGTCCTATTAACCTAATAGATTAGAATTATTCACATAATATTCTACGTATCAAGCGTGTACATGATCTCACATAATATGCTCTCCTTGCATTACCAGACGCCGAACATTGACCATTATTATTAAAACCTTTACATTACCGAAAACTATTTTAACTTAATATAGATTTAAACATGTTAATGTGTCAGGAATTGCATTCGAAATGTTTGGTGCTACCGAAATCGGAAAGTAAGTGTGGGATTGTTGTACATTTTTAGTTTTCCTCCCTTTCTAGTTATTCGGGCTATTCGAATATTACATACAAACAAATATCATCATTGCACATTAGTTTATCGTATCGTAAATGCACAGGGAATCTAATGATTGACTAATGCTAATGATGCCCCAATCTCGATGGCACTCCAAATTAACTGAACGGCGCACGTGCACAACTCGCGATTAAGAACGACATGAAAATATAATTAAGATACAGACCACGTATTAAATTTAGACAGAATTCAGTTGAATGAAATGATGGAAATATAGAATTGTCTTCAAGATTGTGTTTACGGTTAAGGACAATCCTATTAGTATTCTCAGACTAAGTATTTTCAAAGAAACCTAGCGTCGAAATAGCAGTGTTCAAAGGATAATTTAGAAGAAAACTTCGATAAGAAAGTCGAATAAAATATGAGAAATAGCAAGAGGTGAACGCCTCGCAAATTGTCCACGTGTCGATCGCGAAAAAAACTTTTGTTTGAAAAATGCAAGGCACATAAATCAAGCTATAATATACTTCCATTTCGCACCGAACAAGTTGGTGAATTATCGCTATCGCAACATCAACCATCTGACACACATCACTAAACGAATTACATAATTTGGCTCATTATTCTAAAACGTATGCCAAGAAAATTGTTCCTCTGAAGTAACAAATTCCGAAAGTTATTACTGTATGAAAATATAAAAATATTACGGTCAAAGTTATGAAAATTTTGCATTTCTATCGTCAGCAGAACGAAAGAAAGTTAAAAAATTACTTATAATTCCTGCACACGCGAGTCTAACGAGCAAATGAAATCCGGATTACCGAGTAACGTACGTCGACTTCATCTATTCGCAATCCTATCACTTTTGGCACATTTTTGTTACAATGACAATGATAACGACGTATACTACGTATGGACACGGAGTTTTCTTGCTCATCAGACACACACCCAATTAGTATATTCTATAGGAAGCACAAGTGCCTCTGAGGTATATTGATCATTTATTGCATTTTGTTTCTAGCTCAAGTCTGCCTGTTGTAAGGACTTCAATATCATTCTGGACAATAGAATGAAATGGAACCCTAAAACCATACATTATAAAGCCTTCAATTGTATAACTCTGCTATGAACACTTAGCACTTACACTTAAGGATGATATATCAATCTAGTTATAGACAGATCTGATGTTAATCTACTCCGGCAGAATATGACATTCACTTTATTGATTTCAAAGGAATATGCTCTCTGTTGTATTATATTATCGCGTCGAAAGCAGCAAGCCTCTCTAAAACATATTATAATAGCTCACTGCCTTCAAGAGTCATACACCCTGCTTGTATTCTGCTTACTATACTCATACCGGACCGGACGTGAATGCGGCCCGTCTCAACTAAGCACTAACTGTATCCCATCTAATAGCTCACAGAGTTGGTCCCAATTATACTCCATAAACGTCATGTACGCAGTACGCTATAAATAAACAATATATAATTCCGAAAGTACATACACGACTAGATCACATATTCATGTAGAATTCGGAAGTAATTTTGGTATACCCGAGACGTACAAATATACAATTTGGCAATATAAACCCGAGGGCCCGCGCCCTCCGGCTTCCATACCTATCTGCTTACACGAGATGAAATCAAGTCCAACAATATTACAATTGCATTACTAACTGCACTCAAGACTATTTACAGCTTAGATCAACCTTACCTAGTGAGGTAGTTCGGTATTCACATAAGCTAAATGCAGGAATCTCACCCTTCACAACCTCCTTATGCCACCTGCAATCTAATAAACAACTGCAGATTACCTTCAAGAGGCGCCGGTGAGGCAGGGTTAGTGAGGCGGGGGCGGCGGCGGCGGGGGCTTGGGGCTCTGCGCCGTCTGGAAGGCTTGTGTGAACGCTGGTAGTCTCTGCTGTACCCTGCCTTCCTCGCCTGTGAATGTTGGCTCACTATCCTCTAACAGCCCTAGCATTTGGCTCGACAGACCGGAAGGGCCCTCGCCCGGATCCATCAACAGGGACTCCACATTCCCCGAATGGAGTAAGTGTGCTTCCATAGAGTCAGGCAGCTCCTGGGTCGACAAAAACGGCAAGTCCGTCGGCGTCTGGGTGTATGGTGGAGCTACCATAAACATCATGGGATATTCAACTGGAAGCAATGTACATCCTGGTGATCCCGGCTGCTCTAACTTTATGTCTAGCGATTCCTCCAACTTTATATCTATAGGTTCTACCTTAATATCGAGGTCGGGTGGAATTTCTACAATAATATCTGTAGAGGGCACCCGGGTTGGTTGACCACTCTCTGATGTACTCTCTTTGGGTGAGGGTGGTTTCCACATTGAAAAATCAGTATCTTCTATAGGATACTCAGTATACGTTTCTTCAAATGCAGATGCCTCAGGTGGGGGCTCGCTGGATGTACCAACGGCTGCAGATTTCCATGATTCTTCAGGGTGAGCATTTTTTACATGCCGCACCAGATGGTCTTTACGCCCAAACTTTTGTGGGCAGTGAGGGCAAAGGAAATCGCGCCTGCCTGTATGCACGACAAGATGACGCCTTACATCCTTAGCTGTGAAAAACTTTCGTTCACAATAGTTACATGTAAACTTCTTATCAGAATCATTTTTAACAGTGCGACTACCAGTATGGACTTTAAGGTGATATATTATATCTTGCCGAGTGGTAAAATTCATATCGCAAATCTTACACTGAAGATTGCCTTCTTCAGCAGAATGCAAGGCAGCATGCTTTCGGAAGCTCAAAAGGGAAGTATAGGATTTTCTGCAATCTGGCCTTTCACATGTATAAAGCTTTTTAACTGGATTATGCACTCTAACATGGTTGGTGAGATGATCCTTCCGATTGAAAGTCTTACCACATACATTGCACGCAAAGGCTCGCGCCTCACTATGTATTAGATTGTGTCGCACTAGCTTGAACTTAGAGTTGAAGCGTTTGTCACACAGATCGCAGGAGAAGGGCAGCTCGCCAGTGTGTGACAGAACATGTTGGCTGAGCTTGCCTGGGCTGGAGAAGCGCTTGTCACAAGTGCTGCAGACATGGCGCTTGGCGTGATCCTTGCGGCCACGCGACTCCCGCGCCTCGGGCAGTGACGGGCCGGGCGCGCTGCCCTCCCCCTCGCGCGGCCGCCGCGGCAGCGTAGGAATGCGCCGCGCCACTTTGACCGTCCGGAACAACTGCTTGATGCCGCTGGGGCCGGACGCACCGAGCGTCACGTACTGCAGCTTCGTGGGCAGCTGTGACGCGGGTGGCGCTATGAACGTCTTCTGCGGGGCGGCCGGGCGTTCCCCGCTCGGCTCCTCTTTGAACTCGGAGCCGCCCTCCTCGCCTTCCTTAGGGTTTGGTGGCGGGCTGGCCATCTCGCGCACATTTTTGACGCGCTTGCCCTATATCGCCGTTCGTTTATCTCGCGTCGTACTCGTATCGGCTCCGCGGTGGTGCTGGCTCGTCGTGATGGCAGAAAACATTTCTGTCACATTGACGGTCTGGAAGCCCTTTTTCGTATTCGTGTCACATGGTTCTCGCGGAATTTCTCATGTCTGCAGTCGATTTTCACACAGCGATGAGTTCCACCCACACCCCTAAGATACTTTTCGATTGAAAAAACTGGATACAGATTGAAAACGAATAGAAAAATTACTTTTTTTCAAAGAAATACGTAGCGCTTGACATCGAAATCACGAAATGTCAAAATAATGAAATGAAGCTAAAAGCCATGTCAAAAAAAGTCCGCCGAATCGTCAGCTGTGGTCCATTGACCTACATCGGGTGCTTTCAGTACTACAACTGTTCGAGGAATTTTCAGCTCCTAGCAGTACAATTTTTCAATATTAATAGTATCAAATATATTAGGTATTTATTTAAGCTAATAATAATTTGTATTTACATTTCCTTGAGTCCAGTTTGCTCTCATTTAGGACATTTTTATCTTATCAAAGTCAAATTGGTATGCTTTACAGTTGAGCCATTACGAATCTGGAACGCACTATTTGATGTTCAATGTTCAATCAAGGTTCAATCAAACAGCGTAGTAAAAAAAGAATTTTCATTTTCTAAGCAGAGTACAGATAGTATAATATTGTGTTACAAGGATGAAGAAAATACTATTTTAATTAACTATAAAGAAAGATCATCGAACCAACTTAGAGAAAGAACGAAAATATTAATAAGTGAAGAAAAGTACTTATCCAAAATCTATATTTCCTACGTGGCTAAAGCATGAAGTAAACATATACAACAACAAAACTGCTTTCTGATCATAATTTTGGAATCAGGATAGCTGAGCTGAGGTTGAAACCCTGGCTCGGACACATTATTTGTAATTTCAAAACAGAAATACACCCCCGGGCCGATCATTAAGTACTCTAATCAGTTGAAAATAAATTGTATTTGTTGCAGTCGTAAACCAAAATTAGAATATTTTATGATCCAAATACGGAAGCTTCTTATTGCCTCCACTATTTATTGTAATTGTAGTAAATAATCAGGAGTACTAATACAGGACTAATACAGGAGTAATAATAATACGTGTACGGCTAGAGTACAACAATTTGACATTTTGCCTGATTTGGGTTACATTGCATTTCATGTTAAGGATATTGTTAATTGCTTTTAATGTACTTTAGTGTAGAGGATATTTGTATCTTGGTTAGTTTTTATCTGCATAAATATCATGATGTAGTCAAAAGTCACGTGTCCTTTTTTGGGCCGTATACTGAATATCATTGCCAGAAAAATTATCCGAATATTTCATTCGGTCAATCAGTTAGATCTGTGACCGTAAACTACAACAGTCATCATTCATTCATTCAATGTCAATCGCTCTGATCTTGATAACCTAACTTTCAGTTTTTATTTAAAAATTGCAAATTTTGAGCCTTGTGGTGTTAATTACTAATTTTGTGGTCAATTCCAAAATCACCTAAATTAATCAGGTAAGGAATAGTGTACACAACTATTCTCTTTGTTCTTACATGGAATTGCTTTGCTGACGAGATTCCTGTGTCCTTTGCATCTTTTATTTTTTGGGTTTCTTTTTATTGTAAAAAAATATCACGTTTACTAACAGTGTATTTCTAAACTAAACGTTGAAATTATAGTGTTAAATATACATAATGGTGCTTTAGTGGTACGCGGAGGTCATAATATTCTAATTTTAGCGAATCAATTGTATGTTGTTTGAAATACAATAGCTCAGATCTATGACGCTCGGTGTTATTTTCTTCGTATTACAGGGTAATGTAAAGTAGGATACTCACACTAGTGACTATAAAATATCTAACATTTTCTAAAACCGTTGTTATATTTAGTAGGCAAATAATATATTTAGCTTTACTATGATAACAATATTGTTATGAAATCGGATAATCTCCGTGGCCTTTGGACGCTACTCTATCTATTGTACCCTTGTCAACAATGGTAAAACTCAAAACACAGAGAAATGTGAAAATAACTCATGTTAAATACTAAATTGTGGTCCAAATAATGGTTTCTACCATAATTATTTATAATATAAATAAATTTTAAATACTCTTCCATTCTGCTTGTAGGTCCTGTGCTTTAAAAAATATTTTCTTAATGAAACTGAATTATGTACTGTATGGAAGAACTTGCAAAGAATTTTAAAAAGGTTTTGTTGCAATTTAACACTGTTTCATATTAAAACTAAACAATTCTAACTTACAATATTGTGATGTTTTAATGAACTATTTGTTTGTAAACAGTATGGATGTTTAACTGAAATATCATGACCAGTAATGTTATTTAGGTACACATTTTTTATCAAACTTTTTCTTTTATGTGGCTTTGGTCATCAAATGTTACTGTTACCATTTTAGGATTGATTTTTCCAATGCCAGATAAATTATAACTGAGGAAAATATTTGACAATTCTTCCATACTAAAAACTGTGATATGTCAATTTTATTCTACACTTAAAATTAACTGATGATTAAAAAATTGGGCCCTAATTGCCAAGTATCCAAGTGGTAATAAAATAAAACATTAAATATTGAATATTCATTATCTGTAGGTGAGTCATCAGAATATTGCTGATGATGATAATTTTAAGCTCTATGTAGAAATGCGAAGATATTATTTTATGACCAAGTAATCCTTACTTGAGCCTGTTATACTGGTAGAAATGACTGTAGTAGACATATAATATATTTCCAACAATTAGTTTTATTATGACACTAGCATAGATAGAATATCTGTTTAATACAGTTTTATTCTTCTTAGTTGATTCTCTCACTGCTGAGGATCGTGACTCCCTCTGATTCTGCTCACTAGATGTCGCCACTTATCTCGTTCCGTTGCTTGGTGCATTGCATCAGTCGCGTCGCGCGCGCGTCGCGACTGATGCAATGCTTGCGTGCGTCGTGGATTTTAAAAATGTCCTCTGTGGTTAAATGTGCTAATTGCAATGTAGTGATCAACGAAGTGTTGGCCTTCGTTCACAACAAAATATCTGTGATGGACGATGAAAGTATAGGCAGAATCTGTGCTAGTGCTTTCTCTGAAAGTGAAATTGTAATGGCGAAGAAGCTGTTGTTTGAATCCTTGCCGACAACAAAACGTAAGATAACGCGGAGAAAGGCGGGGAAAAATGCTCGAGACATAGACGACATCATTTGTCTGATCCGCGGTACGGACCCCGAGGATATCCCAGTCTTCGTGGCCCGTGATCTTGAGAAATTGCCCCCAGTTCTTTTCGACCATGTTGACGTGACGAGGCTACTGAAAGACATTGTTAAGCTACGCCAAGATCTCGATATGATGAAAGAGGACTATGCTACAGTTAAGCAGATGGACCAGCTGAGAAATCAGGTGCAGCATCTTTCATCAGGATGGTGCAATGTAAACCCCAGAAGAGGTGCCTATGTGACAGGACTCACAAGCTATGAGTGCGATAGTGGTCCCATGGGATTGCCGCTAGAGTGTAATGAAGGCATTAATGAATACTGTCAACAGCAAACTACATTGGAATCTACACCAAAATGCAATATTCAAAATATTTCTGAGCATCTGATATTAGAGGGTAGAAGTGAGGCATCGCGGCAAAATAAGCAAAGCGATACGACGGTGCATGGTGAGGCCGGTGAAGTATCGCCGCCGCCCCTCTCACCGACGTCGTCCCCCGCAAGGATCGGCGGTTGCGGTCCCCTGCTCCCCGCCCCGCTGCCCGTGCTATCTAGTCCGACTGCCTGTACTGCGCCGCTACCACCACCACTCGACTCGGCTGTGAGACACACGGTCGACAAAAATGGACACGGGCCTATCGCACACAAGCAGAAATCGATGGCGGAGATTGTTCGAGAAGGGAATTGGAAGACACAGGCGCCGAGTGATCAGTGGATTCGTGTCCAAAACAAAAGATCACGAAATCGTTTCATTGGAAAGCGAGGAAAAGCAATCCTTGACCCTGGGAGTAACTTTATGGCGGCAGAAACTAAGGTTCCCATGTACATATATAATGTGGCGAAGGGCGTGACAGTGTGTGACATTAGTACCTACATTATGAAAAAAACTAACATTGAGGTTAAAATTGAAAAAATGACTATGAAGTTAGCGAAAGATTATGAATCATACAAAATATTTGTACCTAAACATTCGTTAATAACTTTCATGAGCGATGATTTCTGGCCAAAAGGGGTGGCCTATCGTAGATTTATAAACATTATCAGACATGAAAAGGCAAACGTTCGTGTGACTAGCGAGAATATTAACAGCTCTAATCTATGAATGACGTCAATTTGATAAGTTTTAACTGCAAAAACGTGATAAGATCAGTGGAATGTGTGCGGAAGCTTTGTCGCTCAGCTGATGTTGTGGCGCTGCAGGAAACATGGCTACTACCGCACGACCTCGGGTTCCTGGCTACGATAGATGACGACTTCGCCTGCACGGGTACCTCTGCAGTGGATACCGCGGCAGGAATCTTACGCGGTAGGCCCTACGGCGGGGTTGCCCTGCTGTGGAGAAAGGTTGCGTTTCCAACGGTAACAGTAGTGAAGTGTAATAGTGTGCGTCTCGTTGCGATAAAAATCGAGCTCAGTGAACGTTCTATTTTGATATTCTCTGTGTATATGCCTACCGAGTCCAATGATAATTTAGTGGAGTTCACAGAGTGTCTCAGTGAAATGACAGCCATAATTGACAATCACAATGTGGAGTCGGTGTTTATGTTAGGGGACTTCAATGCGCACCCGGGTGAGTCATTTGCTATTGAACTCTTAAACTTTTGTGAGGAACAATCGTGGTCGTGTGTGGACTTGGAGCTGATGCCGTCGGACAGTCATACATTTGTCAGTGTTTCGCACGGCTGTCGACGCTGGCTCGACCACTGTCTTGTGACCAATGCCGCGCGGCAATCTGTGTCTGCGGCTTCTGTATTATATAATACCTATTGGTCAGATCATTACCCAATGTCTATACTATGTAATTTTAATTTAGTTAAGCCTAAGATTAGTATACCTACTGGTTGTATAAATAGGATAGTTTGGGGTGAACGTGATTCGTTACAGATAGCGAAATTTAAAGATATATGCCAGTCGAGACTTAGAGAAGTTGATTTTCCTTCAGAATTAAGAAACTGCTCAGATAACTTGTGTTGTAATAAAAGTCATAAAATCTTGTTAGATAACATGTACGACGAGATAATTTGTATATTGTCTGAGGCTGCTATATGTAGTTATAATGACACGAAAAAGCGTAAAGGCAAATACATTACTGGTTGGAACAGGCACGTCCGCGGCGCTCATGGGAGGGCTCGGCTATGTTTTCAGGCGTGGTTGATTGCGGGTAAGCCCGGGGCTGGTCGTCTTTACGATAATATGTGTGAATCTAGGCGCGTGTTTAAATCTAAGTTAAAGTGGTGTCAGAATAATCAACAACAGATAAAAATGGATATCATAGCGAAACTACACTCAAACAAGAAATTCGGTCAGTTCTGGAAAAACACCAATAAAATGAATCATAAGCCGGGCCTCCCCGTGAGCGTAGCGGGAGTGCATGAGCCTAGTGAGATCGCCGCTCTGTTCTCCCACCATTTCAGAGTAAGCTCTCCTATGGGGCTAGCGCGACAGGAGCCCTATGCTGAGGAAAGTAGTATACGTAGTGTTTATTATACTACGAAGGAAGTGCGTGCGGTGATCAGAGGCATGGTGAGGGGTAAATCCCCGGGTCACGACAGCCTTAGTATCGAGCACCTACAGCACGCAGGTGTACACCTGCCCAGGGTTCTTTCCATGTTTTTTACCTTGTGTTTGGGTCACTCCCACCTACCTGATAATTTAATGCGTACTATAGTTGTACCAATCATCAAAAATAAAACTGGTGATACATCAGATGTAAACAACTATAGACCGATCTCTCTGGCCACAGTGATCGCTAAAGTGCTGGACAGTCTGCTTGGTCAGCAACTGGATAAACACGTCTCGCTAAGAGACGCGCAGTTCGGCTTTAGGCCTGGGCTTTCTACCGAGAGTGCTATCCTGTGCCTCAAGCAGACTGTACAGTATTACACGACTAGAAAGACCCCAGTATACGCATGTTACCTTGATTTATCGAAAGCATTCGATCTTGTATCGTACGATATTCTGTGGGGGAAATTAAGGGATGAAACTTGCTTACCTAGGGAAATTGTGCGGTTATTCATGCATTGGTATAGCAATCAAAAGAATTTTGTTAGATGGGCCGGCTCTCGCTCGGAGGAGTACAGGCTGGAATGCGGGGTGAGGCAGGGGGGGTTGAGCTCTCCCACGCTCTTCAACCTGTACGTCGACCGATTGATCGATGAGCTCAGCAACACCGGCATCGGGTGTCATATAGATGGAGTGTGTGTGAATAATATCAGCTATGCAGACGATATGGTGCTGCTGAGCCCATCGATTGGTGCCTTACGCGGGCTCCTGAAAATTTGCGAGTCCTACGCGGTGGCTCATGGGCTCAAATACAACGCGAAGAAAAGTGAAATAATGATTTTCAGACCAGATAACAAGCGATACAATTTTGTTCCAAATTTCACTTTATGTGGCATAGCTCTGAACAAAGTCGAGCAATTTAAGTATTTGGGCCACTGGGTCACTGAGGACCTTAAGGATAGTGTGGATATTGAAAGGGAGCGTAGGGCGCTGTGTGTCCGGTGCAACATGTTGGCTCGTAGGTTTGCACGGTGCACGGGGATTGTCAAAGTTGCGCTTTTTAAGGCGTATTGTCAGTCTTTTTACGCCTGCAGCCTGTGGGTTGACTTCACGCGGCGGGCATACAGCGATCTGCGCGTTCAATATAATAACGCGTTCCGGGTGCTGATGGGGCTGCCGCGACACTGCAGCGCTTCTGCGATGTTCGCGGCTGCTAACACAGACGGCTTTCCAGCCATCATGCGCAAACGGTGCGCTTCAATCATGCGCCGCACGCGCGACAGTCCCAACGGCATCTTGTGCGCGCTGGTGGATCGGTGGGACTCTCCGATGCTGGTTCGCTGGATAAGGCTGCATGCAGTTGTATAGTGTGTTGCCGCCATCATCGGGGAGTCCACCCGGACCCGCCACTACAAGTTAGTGCTCAATTTGATATTATTAACAGTTATTATTACTAACACTAGTTTGTAAGCTCGCAATTGTACTAACACATATGGATGTAAATCTGAAATAAATGATTATTATTTATTATTATTATTGCAACATTTATAGGTATCTCCAGCTCCTTGGATATACGGTCAGACCACCATATCCTTTTATCTGTTGAAACACCGGCTCCCGTTATAAAATACATTATGCCCACAACTTTGAACAGACAAGAGGATATGGGACTCCAGCCTCTCGGTCTCTTTCCTTCTACCTTACCAGTCACTATGAGGCGTTCCAGACTGACAGCATCTCTGCGAGCAATATGGCCAAAGTATCGCACAATCCTTTGCAAGCAAAAATACAGTTTTAGAATAAAATAAAATATTTAATTTTTATTTGTACAGAATGGACACCTCATTTTATCTTTATAGACACAATCATTGCTGCCATAGACTTTTAGTAATTAGCTCTGGAATTATGATAATTGATTGCTTTCCAATGAGACTAGTCTAGTTACTAGATGATACTAAAATTGTGAAAAATTAGATGAAAATTCAAATCAATTGTAATTTAAATGGGTGTTTCATACATACATAACGCCTTTTAGTCTCGAAGGGGTAGGCAGAGGTGCACATTATGCCACTGTACAATGTAACACCCACTTTTCACTATTTATGTTATGAGTCCCATGTAATAGGGGGTGAGCCTATTGCCTTATACCGGGCACAATTCCAGATTCCTTGCTACTACTGAGATTTAAAAAAAATCCCAGTGTTATTGTTTAGGCCGACCCGGGAATCGAACCTGAGACCCCTTGCCCGGCAGTCGCACTTTCGACCACTCTGCCAATGAGGCAGCATCAACAACAGATGGGTGTTTCAATGAAAATGAAAAGCAATAATAAGTAAAAAATCTTTTTATAAATGTGTCTATCTTGCAGGAAAAATGTCTGAGCAACAAGTAGCTTCAACCCCAGCGTCGGCAGCCGTGTCGGCCACCAGCGTCGCTGAGGAGCAACGGTCGGGCAGCGGAGGAACTGTTGCAGGCTCTGGTAATTTATATATTATGGAAACTATCCTTTATTATTAGGAGCTTAAAGACGTTTTTTATAACAACCATCGTGAGACATACTAAATTAACTAAAAATCGCGGGTTACTCACGTGTAGGCTGCGCGACATCGCCGCGACTGCGCACGTTGCTCATGAGGAAGAACCCCTCTGTGGTTCGAAACTAGTAGAACTTTTTCTCAGCTTAAAGATGTTTAATTTCTACCTGCTAATGGAGGCAAGCCTATCGTCAGACTGTGGAGTATATTAGTATTTTTTCACATGCATGATACATGATTTTTGCATTTTAAACTTATATAATTTATTCTATTTCTTTTGATCAAACAAAGCCGCGGTTTGAAAGCTTAAATTGCGTTCACATTTAACCGTTATAATCAAGTTGTCCCCCAATCCTTACTAATATTATAAATCGGAAAGTGAGTTTGTTTGTTCCATTTTCACGCCATAACTACTAAACCGATTGCATGGATTTTTGCAGACGTGAAGTTAGAAGTCTGGATTAAATAATAGGGTACTTTTTATCCCGGAAAAATTTGATATTCTCGAGGGAAAACGAAATTATTGGTATAGATGGCGCTGTGTGTATTGGTATATGTCACATAGGCTACTTTTTATCTTTTTGTGACGCGAGCGAAGCCGCAGGTAAAAGCTAGTGATGTATAATGTTAAATCCTATTCTAACACAGGCGGCAGTGCAACTGGCAGTGCGGCTGGATCAGCTGGACCTGAAGAGAAATTATATGGAGGATGTGAAGGCCCAAACGCTATGTATGTGAAGCTGATCTCTTCAGATGGCCATGAGTTCATTGTGAAGAGGGAACATGCGCTCACCTCGGGCACTATCAAGGCTATGTTGAGTGGACCTGGACAGTTTGCTGAGAATGAGGCCAATGAAGTCAACTTTAGGGAGATTCCGTAAGTATTATTCGAGATAATGTTTTTGTAATGCATAATGTTACCAGAAATAAGAAACAGATAGGTTAATTTAGTATTTAGATAACAAATAGTTCTTGTTATCCAAATTAATACATCACTTCTCGAGAGAAGCATCTATTGATCATTAAATTATTCTTCTCAAACAATCAACCTGGCATCCAGAAGCTGTACTCCATAAATCGGACAATATTTAGTAGAGAATTGATGAGAATTGTGGTAATTAAACAACTCATATAGTGTAGATTTTATAGTCCATGTCCATTCTAAAGGTGTGTTCACATCAGCAAATGCGCCACTTACAAGCATCTTGCATTACACATACGCACAGTAAAAAGAAGAACAAAGGAACAACATTTTAATGATATATTTCTTCACCATTCCAGCTCCCACGTACTGCAGAAGGTGTGCATGTACTTTACTTACAAAGTTCGTTACACAAACTCGTCGACGGAAATCCCTGAGTTCCCGATCGCCCCAGAAATCGCGCTGGAGTTGCTGATGGCTGCTAACTTCCTTGACTGTTAAGAGTACAGCTATGTACCGGTAGATGGTGCTAGTGAGACGGCCACCAAAGAGGTTGACTGCAAAAAGTTTGTAATAAAAACTTAGCAGCTGTCTGATGAAGATCTCTTGACATTGTAAGGTTCCTCACTCATATATTATCTTATAATGTAATGTAAAATGTTAATAAAAGAAACATTCTTAATAAGTAAATTAATTGAATTTATTATTTTTATATTTAACAGACAGCAATAAATTTTTATTTGCTAAACCTCTTTGTTTATTTTTAGTTGCTATGGTAATGTGTCTCACTAGCGCCACAATTATCAAAGTGATCATTTTACGAGATCAGTTCACACAGATTTGTGTGATATCAACATGTTTACGGTTTAAAAATCGATCGACACTGGTCGGTACATTAACGGTGGATTTAATTAATTACACATTGGTAACAAATATTTTGTACTTTAATAGACAGGCATACACTGTATCAAAGAAGATTTGACATTGTTGAATTAACGAAGAAAAGTAATCTAAGGAGGATTTTATATTTAGAAATCTTCGCTATATAATGAAATCTGTACTATTGCTGGCAATAGAATTACTCAGTATTATAAGATAACATAACTTGAGAAACATCCTCATGAATACGACTCCCGTTGTGACTTCGAAACTAGTAGAATTTTAAATAAGCCATTATTTCAATTATATTTGAGCAAAATATGATGTACACATAGTTCATCTCTATCAAGCCTTTATTATTTTTCTATCAGGAATAAAAGGCGTGATCTTACATTTATAACTGTCTATTAAAATATAATTTTAACACAACACATAAACCTTACTTCTCATAGTGATATTTTTCACTTTATTCATCATTTAATAAAGTTCATAATCGTATGGTTGGTTCGCTCATTTATCGACAATGATTATAAAATTACGCAACGTCACCTAGAAACAGAGCATTGCTGTGTGTTAAATAGGATGTTGTCGTAATATTATTTAAAGTATTTTCATTGAGCAAATCAATTTTCATTTATTCAATAAGTTTTATAATATATTCGTGAATAAACAATCTATTTTACCTGTACACTGGTTCTAATTACAACTTTATTTGTAAATGAAAATCGTACAGCCAAATGGACTTATTTATTTATGAATACAAACAATCAGAGGCGTGTTAAAACCTACATAGAGCGACATAGGCCTCACAGGCGCCTCTAATCATTTTGGCGCCGCTGTCAGTCTATGGGTATGGGACTCCCGGTGTCGCGGCGCCCCTCTGTAAAGCCCTAGGCGCTTGCCAAGTTTGCGTCAAAGATAATGCAGCTCTGTAAGCAATACTTAGTCCATTTGTTTCTTGCTAGTATGTCAAGGGTGAACGCAAATAAGGGTAAATAAACTAAAACCCTTTTATAGTAATATGGTGTAATAATATCGGGTCGATGAATTTAATAATTTCTTTAGCAAAGTCTGATTTCTATTGTATTATAATTTTTAGTAAACAAAAATTGTAAATGTCAGTTTTGTACATACAATTACATGTAGTGGATATTTTGGGAATGATTGTAGGTACAGTTTTTAGTAATCACTGTTAAAATCTCTCTCTTTGAAGTGTTTGTTGGTAAAATGAAAGTGTTTTTATTTTTAAAGATAATGAATTAACGACCTAACATTACTTTTGTTTATTAAACCTCAATGCACCGAAATGGCATTCCATTTCAGTTGTGGTTCAATTTTCGTATTGGAATAATTATTATTAAGGCTTTCACTGCCAATAGAAAACTGTTAAAGGTAAATTCTCCGCTAACTTCGGTCACCTGTGACCTCCATGTCGTTTTACGTGTTAAGAAATCGTAAGAATTTCTGAAATCCTGAAATCTACTAGAAAGTGGAGGTTGCCTAATCCTTCTGCAAGTAAGAAATTTATTCATTCTAAAATACTTTCATTTTACAAACAAAACACTAATTAACTTAAAAAACAACAATAATAATCTCATATTTGTTCCGTAGTTTGTGGGTATCGCATTTAAAGAGCACTTTTTTACGTTCAAATACCAAAAATGCTATTTATTTTATGTGCTATTATACGTCAGTAATATTTTTCTAACGACACTAATAACTTGTAATATTAATACTGTAGGTAAACTTAGCAAAAGAAATCGCATTACAAAGTCGAAATAAATAACAATTACAATGCTATCTCTTTCTTGCCATTTAAAAATACTAAAGGTTATATAAAAATACTAAGGTTGTATATAAATACTAAATCCTACTGTAGTAGGCTGCGCGACATCGCGGCGACGGCGCACGCTGCTCATGAGAAAGAACCCCTCTGTGGTTCGAAACTAGTAGAGTTTTTCTTAGTATTTTCACGTATGTAATTTAGTATGTCTCATTATAAATACTAAAGGTGAAAAATTGATGGATAAGTGTAGGTCTATCCGCCTCACCCAGGCGGGAGCAGTCATTCGATGATTTTCCCCCCTTAAAAAAAAAAGTGTAGGCCTATACATTAAAAATTATGTTAATTACTTTTGTCAATTTATATCTTCTGTTCGTTTCGAAAATGTTTTAATAATAGGTGTAAGAAAGAGATAGATTTATTTTGTAAAGTCTATATATTTCGATTTGAAATGCATTAGTTCCACACAAATTAACGCTTGTATAAACCGGATTGCTAGAATGTGATTATTTATTTTGTCAAGTGTCACTAAAACATTAACCAAATCGCAATGTTTAGCTTTTTATTTTGTTAATAAACCGTAAATTCTTATTTTTGTTGTTTTATTTCTGATTTAAATTGTTTCTATGGTTTGCCTGCACACTAATACCACTCAACTAGCGTCGATAATGATCTACACTTTATTTCTTAGTATGACAATTGACAACTTTTAGCTATGTTTTATAAAATTCTTATGATTCCCGAAGCGAACTGTTACGGAGTGGTTTTAAAGTATTTAAAAGAAACTTGATTTATTCACTTAAAAGATATTTAATGTTTAAAATACAGAATAGATAATCCGCAATGACGTTCAAATCCACACTAACTGCAAAGCATTCCACAGGAAAAAACCCGACATAGTAAGAATGCCAACTCAGATACACGTTGTGAACACACGTGAAAGGATAGCGTTGTCATCGTTACTGTTTTATATGCTTAATATGGAATTCTGATATAACAGAACCAAACGATTACGTAGGGTTAAACTCTTATAGGCAACAGTCAGGACCAAAAAACTTCATAAGAATGAAAGCAAATCCTTTATAACATAGATTAACACCCATGCCTTTTAATTCCCGAACGGTCGAGTAGAGATGCATATGTGATGAATGTAAGAACTATTTCTATTAGTTATGGGTCCTATACAATATGAATGAGTCTATAACCATAACCAAAACATGGTTGCAGACTTTTTTTATGGGACAAGCCCGTTACAACCAGGATCTAAGTAGATACAACAACAAGTCCGGCGCGTCCCAGGGACATGAATAACTGTCTTGGTTCACGCAACGAAGTGAATCGGAAGATATTATAAGAGGAGAAGAAGAAAAACGATACTTTCCACTTCCCTCGGTGAATTTCTGCAGGAGACAGGATGAATTAAGCCTAAAGGCACTAAAAATAGAGTGTACAACTGGGTGAAGCCCAGTTGCCAAGCACCACGGAAATTTGACTAAAATCTAAGTGGGTCCTATGTGTGAGCTGTTATACTTGCTTCCAATAATAGGTATGGCAAAAGCGCCTAAACGCACGAAAATTTGTTCTAGGTTCCACAAGGTCCGTATAATAAGCTACACCAGACGAAACAATTAAATTATTTAACATAGTGTTACGTTCATACTGCCAGAGATCACACTCCCAGAGTATGTGATGGGCAGACTGCTCATATTGCAGCTACGCTGTCGAACATTGGCACCATGGTGAATCAACAGGTTTAAATGAGAACAATTTGCTTTTAAAGTTGCCGTGGCCAGTAAGAAATTGGGTAACACAGTGATCCACCTCCAACCATGTCCTCTTCAGCCGCTCATGCACGGATGGGAAGAACTGATATAGGTGGCGGCCCTTAATAGAAGATTCCCAATCTACACTGCCATTCAGTTATAAGCTCGCCCCAAACGTCTGTTAATGGCTTATACAATCTAGCAATTTTATTTCGATCTCGTTGTGCTAGAAAGCTTGCTGTCAAATTAGGTCTCGCATTGTAGTACATAGCAGCACGTCGCTGCACCTCAAGATCAAAGGTAGGGCCTCAGTGCTAACCGTCCTATAAGCCTTACACAGGAAAATCAAGGCTAGACGCTGGCCTTGGAGAAGTTTTCGCCGTACCGCGCCTATTGTGGCCTTATCTGCCCAGACAGGTGCCCCGTAGCACACGCATCCCAGGTAGGTTGCTCTGTATATGATCTTATCCTATGATGTAAGAAAAGAGAGACCCCAGGTGGCTTTTGAAATTCGCGTTAGCGCATAGAAGTTATTTTTGGCTTTTTCACTAATTGCCTTAATATGTTTAATGAAAGAAGAAAAGATTTTTTCCATGGTTGCAGACTCTGGAGTATCTATAATACAAGTCCAAAATGTGTGAAAATATTTTTCTTTTGATCAGCATTGAACGCAAAATCTCGCTCTTCTACTCCCAGTGCCCGCGACGCGCATGTGCGTCTTTAGTTTGTACGACATAGCATTCTCAGTTTTATCATCTGTGGTTTTACATAGACTTCTTGCTTGGATTATTTGAACCTTTCTGCCTCGCACAGTAAACTGTCGTCTGCGCTATTTCCGAGCCGATTCGAACTTCAAACCTTCAAGAGCGTATTCGTATGCGACTGCTGGGCAAGGTGTCTCGGGTTCGATTCCCGAGTAGGGCAAATTATTACTGGGTTTTTAAAAAAATCTCAGTAGTAGCACGGAGTCTGGAATTGTGCCCGGTATATGGCAATAGGCTCACCCCCTATTGCATGGGACTCATAACATAAATAGTGAAAAGTGGGTGTTACATTGTACAGTGGTATAATGTGCACCTCTGCTTACGCCTTCGGGGATAAAAGGCGTGATGTTATGTTATGTTATTATTCCATAAATAGTACCTACTTTTTGTCAAGTGTCTGTCTACTCTCAGTGCTCGCGACGTTTATGTTCTTCTTGACTTTACTTCACGACACTGTCCCAGTGTCACAGATGGACATGTGCGTTTATAGCATTCGCTACTTTACAAACTATATAGACCTCTTGCTATGTGACCTTTTCATCAAGTTCGAACACTTGAGAGCATTTATTCATATACCATTTGAACGAAGACTTTTAAACGATCTTAAGATTAAGACGCACATAAGCGTCGCGGGCACCGGGAGTTGTAACTTGACCAAAAGTACTTTTTTTTAAGCGGGGATAATCATCGAATGACTGCTCCCGCCTGTGTGAGGCGGGAGCGAGTGTCACTCTTACTGACTAAAAACCAACCCCGTATCTTCTTCTGCGTGCGCATCGAGCCAGGTAACCCGGTAGGTTGTCCGCGACTGAAAAAAAGTACTAGGGTCGCGTTATACAGCAAGAGGCTAGTGTCGTTCGTAAAACACAGAATGCTATGAACGCACACGTGAGTCAGTGGCACAGTGTTGTGTAGTCAGGTCAAGACGCACATGCCTACGCGTCGCGGGCACCGGGAGCAAAAACTTTATAAAAAATACTAGGGTAGCATAATAAATGGCAATTAGAGGTGAAGGGTAGTTCTTATAAACGTCTTATATCTTCGAGTGGGGTAATAGAATAGCAAGGTGGGGATGAATGGTAGTTTTCGAATTTTAAAATCGGTTTTAACCCGTTGAAAATCATCCCCTAAATTTGTTATAAGGTCTATATTGTAGTTAGTGGAGAGCGGTCACCGGTGACCGCTTGGGGATTTAATATTAATAGTAACATTAGTAGTAGTGAAGAAAATAGCTCATTATCATCATCATCGGTAGTATTTACTGATAGTTATTCTAATGAGTAGCGTAGGCGTAGGTACACGATGTCGCGGAGAACCTAATGGGTTACCGGGGCTTCAGCTCGACGTGCAGGAGAAGGAACGGGGTGGTTTCTAGTCAGTAAGAGTCTGACACTCCCTCCCGCCTCACCCAGGCGGGAGCAGTCATTCGATGATTTCCCCCCCTTAAAAAATGCGATATACACGATGAAAATAAAACAAAATTCGAATGATTGACTTGTCCTTTATTCAATGCGTAAAGAAAAACCGGTCCACCATTATCAGATATTTGGAAAATAATCTCGGGCAGCTCACTACAATAATATATGGACTACGTACTGCTTAATATAACCATTATACTTTGGAATGATATCCTGCTTACTTCTAACACATTAGGAAAATCAACTTTACAAATAAACCAAGACACGTCAATAAATAAATTCTGATTTCATTAATTACAAAACTAATCGATTTAACGTACGCTACAAATTCCAACTGAGATCTAAGCTTATAATAAAAACTTTGGATAAAAAAATTATAGTAACAATTATTATTGACAATTTGTTTTGTACATTTTTACAAAGAAAATACATTTCAAATCCGGCTGAATACTGAGTGAGAATGTAAAGAGTTAAATGCAAAAATGTTACAATTTATGTTGTGACATGTAAACGCACCTTAACTAACGAAAAATATACACAATTACTCGCAATAATACATTTTACATTAAACATAATACTTTCTAATCAATTTCAAAAGATATCGGGTAATTATTGTTCTATGGAAGAATTTATTCTTATACATACGCACCAGTAATGGTTGAGTATAAAATCTGCAACACCGTTACACCAAAAATATAAAATTTGTATGAAAAATAACTACAAAACTTACTCATTAGGTGCATGTTTGAGGAATGTGCTCACTGTACTGCGTTACATAGCCGTTCTTATTATAAAAAGTATTCAAATTTTATTGGCAATAATATCACAAATCAATATTATCATGATTTTCACAAACAGTTCTGTGTGACAACGTTATTATGGGAGATGGGAGATGTAGAACGAAGATATGTCGAATAATAATTTTATGAATAGCAACACCACGTATTTATTTGAAGCACAACAATGCTGGGCCCTGTTTCTGTATCAATTAAAACGTTTCCATTGATTCCAATCGATTAAACTTGACAGATATTTATAAAGTTTGGTGCCATTTTAATATACCTACTGCCGCCATTTTGAATCAATGAGTTTCAACTTTTTTTAACAGAGGCGCTCGACTATTAATTATGGAGTCAAAGTACTGTTGTCTTATTGTATAATCATATTCTTCTTTATATTTTTACATGAATATTCGATGAGAATAGTTACATAAAAACGTGGAAACGTTTATAAATAATAAGAATTAGGTGCCCTGATGATATGTAAATAGATATCACTAGATGACCAACATATAGTTCTATGTATAGTTGTTATATTCACGCAAATAGCGCGCGTAAATAAAAAAGCTTTCGAAAAAGCAAAAAATAATCTCATACGCATCTACAAAGATACAAAAATATTTTAGCAGTGGAAAGTGCGAAAGGGCTTTATAATTTAGGCCATATTTTTTAGGCAAATAGGTTTATATTCCTTTACAATTAAATTGTTTAGTTTGAATTGACTTTACGTACAACGTAAGGTATTAAATTTAGATTACCAGTAAAAGTTACTGAGGATTTTAATTTTTAATGGCTGCCTTTCCACTGCCTTTTGGTCGCACTATTTACGTAAATACAACAGTAATAATAAACGGTTAATGTATATGAACTCCGATATAAACGAACGCGAATGGATGGAAACAACGACAATTATTTGGCTCACTTAATTCGCTACTGGTAATATTGAGCATTATTTGTCTTTTCCAAATAAACGTCGCACTATAGAATTCAAGCGGCAAACGAAATATCTATGAGCATATCCGGGTAAGTACACTAATCGTTCTAATATTAGGTCATAGCCTATGTAAAGCTGTCAACGTCACACGACGTAAAAATAAAAAAATTGCCACTACAAGCGAAAAACGTCAAAAGGTCATTCACCCTTGGTCGGTGTGACCAATATTTTGATCGAGTGGTATCATTTTTTTGCTGACGGAATAGATAGGGGGGGAGTCAAGTTTGCCGGAGATGGCTTGAACACGACTTTTGACGGACTCCATGGGGGCGGAGTCCACCTTGACGTCATCGGAGCTCGATGAGGAGTATTGGAAGGAGGAGGCTTCGGTGTTGCCATAGATGTGTTGTGGTTCCCTAACGTTGCCGTAGAGGTTGTAGTTGTGTATGAGGGTGGACACCCTGTTGGGCGCGGCGGGGAGGCTGCTATGTTCTTTCGGTGGTTGTTCCGTAACAGTGAGCTGGCTGGTGGTCACTGGCTGGTTGATCTTGAAGTCCGGCTTCGGAGGTGGCGTCTCTTCCTCTTGCACCGACGACTGGTTGCTTAGCACCGGGTTCTGTGGTATATACACCTGGTTCTGAGGCGCGAACACTTGGTTCTGCGAGGTTAGGGTCTGGTTCTGTGGGGTTGCCACCTGTGAAAAAAGATTTCGACTGATATTCTAAACTTGCTAGTAAAAAAATAAATTAAAAAGGTAAAAAATGATACTGACTACATACTACCGACTACTGAGATGCTGCATGCAAAAATAAAAAAGAAATATGTTAATAAAATGTGAATAGTTTCAAAATTTTGGTGATTCTAACGACGTCACTAATGCAAGTATGTAATATCTTAAAACATTCCCATATTAACTACTATAATCATTACAATAATTTCTATTCATTCCAATAATCCAATTTCATTCCAAAATAATAGGATCAACAAATCTACAGTCACTTATTATTATTCCACCCTGATCGAAAGAGTTTTACACCATATCATACAATAATATTGTGTATTATTATTGTTTAATTTTAGCTAAACCTGAGGTTATTGCAAGCACATTTCTGATGTGGTAATCAATTATCTAATTATTACCAAATAAGAAGAATTCTTGAAGAAATTCATTCTTGTTGGAGTCAAACTTTGTGGAAATATTTAGTTACCAGAAGATTCATTCATTGAAATAGTGGGCCTATAGCATAGTTGATAACAAGATATAACAAAAAAAATAACTGGTTATTTTATAAATCAATTATCGAAAACAGTGTAAAACCTTTTCCAATCTCTTTAACCACAGATAAAAAAAATAAACAAAAAATATAAACTCCTTGACACACTTACCTCTTTGCTCAGCATGCGACACTAACCTGCGCGTTAGGGCTGGTAGGTTCCTGCGGCGGCAGTAAGGCGGCGCGCCAGTCTATGTTGGGGTGTCGGTCGCGGATACAGTCCACTACGTCCAACAGGTTCTTAGCGTCCATAGCTAAGATGTGGGCGGCTGCTAGCATGTTTCTAAAAGTCATAATAAATTTGTTAATCACGGATGTTTGTTCGTCAATCCATATAAAATGCTGTGGCAATAGGCACACTATCTTTTACATGAAACTTTACATAAGCAATTAAGACAATCTCTTTAGCCTTGTGTTCGGGGATTTAAAAGGGTCACATTATACTTCTTACTTAAATAGTTATTTGTGTTATGTATACTAACTTAGTGTACTCATGCTGCAGCGTAGTGTTGTGGTACTGTATGGCGAGGCGCATGGCTTCCACCAGCGCCGCCATGTCCTTGCTCAGCACTTGGTGCGCCATCTCCACCTCCCTAGTTACACAAAAATAGATCTTATTAGCTTAAGATAACAATGATTTTGGTCAATTTCAATTAATCTTCTTGAAAAGTTTTAAGCATTTACTGTTATTAGGAAAATGGTAATTATTATTACTTTAACGATAAGATTTTTTTTAAAGTTGACTGCTACTATCTTTGTTAATTGTCATGCATTTATGACAGTTGATAATCACATAATTACTAAAGCTATTATAGTAATAGGAAACCAATAGTTCACTTCAAGAAGACAAAATAATTTAGAACTTTAAGTCTATATAGTTAAAGTTAAATTTACTATTAACGTAACTCACGTGGGCCTTTAGAAACACAGAACAGATTAATTAGTTACGTACCTCTGCGCATGCTGTGGGAATGGCACGACGACTTTATCAACAGTAGCACAGAGGTCCCGCAGCTCGGCGCCGACGGCGCGCACGGCGGCCAGCACGCCGGCGGCGCCCGCCCCGCCCGCCGCCGCGCCCGCCAGCCGCATCACGCAGCGGACTACACTCGTCGTCGCGCAGTACACTGGCTCGGACGTGTTGCGGCCAGACTGGAGAGATAAGTAAGGTTTTTGGAGTGATATTTTGTGTTAAGTGGCGCTAGTATCGAATGGAGACGATTATACATAGGTACTACTAATAATGTTAAATCATTTTATTTTAATGAACAATTGCACAGGAGATAGTCATTCTTATATTTATTAAAGCTGATTAAAAAGAAATGACGAATTTTATAGAAGACTAAACTATTATTTATTTATTATTTTCAGCCGTGATCGTCCCACAAAGTCAAAGTCTCCGTCGTCGCAACGGCCTACCCTCCTTCCACTCCTCTCTATGTAAAGCTTTTTGCGGCCAATCCTTGTCATAGATATCTAATTCGTCTAAAAATTATTAAGATGTTATTTTTTTTTCTTCATTCATTGTTGTTTTACCTTATCTTCGCTCGGTGGTCGTTCTTTGGATACAGTGTTTGCAGGACTCGTCTCGGCAGACGTCGTCGCTGTATGTACAAAAATAACTTTTAGGTCGAATTTTAATTTTTTCGATGATGATTTGTTAGAATTATCTCTACTTGTAATAGCTACAAAGAAACAACAAAAACTGCCTCGTTGGCCGAGTGGTTGCAAGTGCAACTAGTGGCCAAGGCGTCTTGAGTTCGATTCCCGGGTCGGAGCAAAGTATTATGTGTGTTTTTTAATTATTAGTAGTAGCCCGGAGTGTGGAGTTGTGCCCGGTATATGGCAATAGGCTCACCCCCTATTACATGGGACTCATAACATAAATGGGTGTTACATTGTACAGTGGCATTAAGTGCTGATAAGTACACCACTGCCTTTCCATGCGGGGACAAAAAGCGTTATGTTATGTTATGTTAAAAAAAACAAAAAAATGGAATAACCAAGAATAAATATAAGGAAAATATAATTCGATCCATTTTATTGGATAATCACATAGTCGCGGTTATCTATCTTAAACTGTCAAACACCGCGAGGACACCGGTGACCGCAACCTATTGTTCTTTAATTGTGTCTATAATGACGGTACTCAACGAGTTAATTGTGTCTATAATGACGGTACTCAAAGGGGTAATATTAGTTACCTGAATGTGACTGACTAGGTGGTCTCGGTTCATTGGTGTTGGTACCGTCCGGCTTCTGTTCACTGCCCGGTTCAGATTCCGTTGATAGTTGCACGTTGGACAAGCGCTTTTTCTATAAAAAAGTAATTACAATATCCTTTACATACTAGAACACACATACATGAAGATATCCCTGTAAAATTTTAGATAATGGATGTCGACTTTATTACATAGCCATAAAGTTTAAATTTGGTTAAACTTTTCCTAGGTTTAAAATAAATTGTTTCAAATTTTTAATGCAATTAATTAAAAAATTATTATACTCTCATCCATTGATTTGGCAATTTATCTACCTTTCGTTTTTTTCTCGCTAATTTTAAGGAAATAAGTATTTGACGCAGAAATATGATGACGTCATAAGTTGCGATCCAATACAAAATTCATAGAAAAGTATTGTTTTTAACATTTCACAAGTATTGAATTTGACAACCTGTCAACTACAATATTGTATTAAGCAAAACTGGACGTTTGGCTCTAAGGGCTTAGTGCAAGTTATTACGCATAGAGTAACTGCAACGAGTACGCGTTCGACGCTCTAATTAGCCGGATTCAATGAACCCACCAATCACAGCGTCGGACGCGGTCTCGTATTGATTACTTTAAACACAACTCGTACTAAGCCCTCTGTACTAAAACCGTTGGCTCGTTTACACGATTACGTTTCTAATTCTATTAGCTATAAGAGTTTTTTTAAACGTTGCCCCACACTGGGAATTTCTCCTGTGTCGTGGGTACGTTTACAAACATACAAGTTCACATACACATGACACCCAGACCCGAAAGAATAATTTGTGAATCACATAAAGTGTTGTCCCGTGTGGGAATCGAACCCGCGACACGTAGCACGGCAGCTGGTTGCTCAGCCACCGCACCAACCGTGCAGTCGTCAGTACAGAGTCAAAATAACACGGCTTTTGTGTATTGAAATAAGAACTAACGAGATGCTATTTAATTTTGACCCTAATAGCCATAAAGTATAAAATCGATTATGTTTTTTCATTACTTTACTTACCAAGTTCTCTTCCTGCATCTGCAACCATCTTCTGTCTTCTTCGCTTTGATGTTGTTGTCTTGCTAGTTCGGCTAGCAATCGCCTTTCCACCGCTTGTTCACTGTCGCATTCTGGACTCTGTTGCATATAAAATAAGAGCTTTATTTGACTATTCTTGGCAGAGTACCTTTGCATAAAAAATATAGGTTTATATTCACTACAGTCAAACTCAAGTCTCTTTCTTATACCAATAGTATAATTTTATTTTCCAATAAGAAAAAGTCTTCAATATATTGCGTTAAGATTCATTTTTGCATGTTTTTTACAGAATTGAGTTTGACTGTTTTTTTATAGTTAAACGTGCAATTTTTGTGATTTTTCACAGAACTAACATTGCTGTTAGTGACATGAATCATGACCAATAAACAATTTGTACAATTTTAGTAAAAAATGTAAAGTTATTCACCAGAATCTGTGCCAAATATTTCCAAAAGATTAAAATTCCAACCACAATGTTAGTTCAGTGTATATTCAGAAAAAGAAAATCACTCGTGAAAAAGCAATCAAAACAATAATTTTCACAAATGAATCCTCAAAAAAATGTTATAAAATACATATAAGTAATATGAAATTAAAAATAAAATCAAAAACCGACACTCTACCGGAGAAACCCAATATGTCACAAAGAAAATCTGAAAACAAAAAAAAATACCAAAAGAAAAAATAAAGTATAAAAATAAAACCAAAAATTTATATTTACAAACACATACACCTCCCTCGGGAATGGGATTGGATATTTACAAATATGGAATCAATAATTTGACATTCCAACGACAGCTGTCAAATGTCATTTTAAAACTCCTTTCCTTCAAAATACTTTGTCCGAAACCAAACCATATTATCTCAATAATAATCTTTACAAAAAGAAAATTATTTGACAAAATAAATATTAAAACTTCTCATTGAGAATATATTGCGATCTATGCTTCACTCTTCACGCATGCGTACTCTAATTATCTACACACACTTACTAAATATCTACTCTCGCCATTTGTGAATGTTAGAGGTGAATGTAAAAAATATTAAAAGTGAAAATTGTAATGTGGCAGAACTGGCAGACACGTACGTAAACTTTTTTTGAGATCGTTTTATATAATGTTGAGATTTCTAGATAAAATACTACTTTTTGCATTCACCACTTAACATAATCATGCTTTGAAAGTGTAACCAAGTCTATGCGAATACATTCCAATCACCTGCACGGGCTGCGCCACGCCATGCACGTGGGACACTCCTGCCGACACTCCTTGCACCATGCCAGGCACTGGCACACCCATTGCGCCAGATACTGGCACGCCAGACATCGTTCCAGAGACTGGCACGCCAGCCATTGAACTAGTTATAGGCGCCCCAGCCTGAGGCATCGCTGGCTGACATTCCATTCGAGACGCGAAGATGGCAGAAGAATCCGATGTCTGTACCATCGGTCTATACGCCGGTCCTGCCACCTGTGGCGCCATCTGTGCGCGGTACATGCCAGGCTGGGCCCCCCCGTACCCGTGCGGGGGCCCGTACATGGGGGGCACCACTCCCATTGGCTGGGCGAACCCTTGCTGCACCTGCTGGAATGGCTGTGGACTAGCAGACCGGAGGAAACCTTGCGGGACTTTTGATGGCCGAGACTGTCCTGAGTACGGCACCCCTTGAACAACTCCTACAGGTACTCCATATGACGCAGAAGGATGTGAAGCCGCCATACTACTCTCGCGTCTAAACTGAGGCCGCGCCATCGCTCTTTGTGCCGCCACTGCCACGCAACTCTTGACGTTATCTCCACCAAAGTCATATATCTCTTCTACCAATGGCGGTTCTGGTTGTGTTCGCATTTTGTTCATGACACTGGCGGCTAGTTGTGCATTGAGTGCGCCTTGTACTGCGAACTGTCCAACGTCCTGGTCTCTACGAGTCCGTGGCGGCGGGGACGCGGGGACTGAGTGCTGCCGGGTGAACGGGGCGATGGGGACCGGGGACCCGCGGTGGGACAGACTACCACGAGCGTTACGTTCTAGTGACCCCATACGGATGGGAGCACGCTCGGCACTAGATAGTGTACCGCGAGTGTTCCGTTCTAGAGACCTTACTCGATTAGCGTACGGTTCAGGAACGTCTGCCTCACCAGCAGAAGGTGACGCAGTGTCCCCGCGCGGGGAGACGCTGGGAATGTTCTGACAGAGATTGTCGCAGCTCTCTCGAGCTCCTACTACCACAGTGAGAGTCTCGTCGGGGGTGTCGGAGGGGGTGGAGGTGGGTACAATAGGGTCTAGTTTCTGTAGGCTGGCGGCGGGGATGGGTGCGGTCTGGAGGGGGATGTCTATTTTCTCGTCGGGTCGAGGGTGTATGATCTTGTCGACGATGTCGTGGGTCTCCGGCAGGGTGTCGGCGAAGTCTACGGCGACAGTATTGAATACCGAGGCGGGCGTGGTGTATGCGTGCGGTAGATGCGCGCGCGCCGTGTTCTCCCGGAGTAGATGTGCCAGTACGAGCGGGTTCTGGGCCACTATGTACGTCTGCGCTGCGCCCGCGCCGCCTGGGACGTTGTCGGTCACTGTAAGAGGAAGAGAAACTTACTAATAAAATACTAATACTATATCTACTATTAATCAATAGAAATTGAATTAGCTACCCCAGGCTGTAAAACTATGATTATAAACCTTATTACCCTTCAAGAGAATAAAAAATCTGTTGCCAAAATTGTCAGATGGGTTAGCTTGATTTTCTTTGTAGTTAAAATAAAAAATAAAAAAGTGAATGGTTTATTACCTGGAATATTATTAGAAGGTCGTTGGGGTTTGGGCGGGGGTTCCTCGCTGACGGATCCAGCCGCGACACGTCTGTTCTCTCTCCGCATCGTCTCCCACGCTGAACTGCGCTCCTCTTGTAGGATCTCACTGTGATACAAGAGTCAATGTTAATATGTTTACATTACCTGATCTATAATGAAGTAAGCTGTTGCTTATTTAGACTTCTTTGTTTTGATTATGTAACAAATATTTACTGTTTACTGTATCAGGATAATGTGTAGCAAACTTCATTCACATCAATGTAGCGAATAAAATTACTTTGCAGACATCTAAAACCGCATAAAAATGCATTAAATAATATGTATAATATTATGAATAAATATAACATACAACTTCAAGTTAACCAAAAACTAAAACAGTGAATTAAAAAAAAGAAAAAATGAAATTCCGTCAGTTAAGTAGGCGTCCTTAGGTATAAGTTCGTAATAAAATTAGCTCTTCTATACACAGCATATAAAGTTTTATCACTGTAAATAAAGTTATAACTTAAAACTCATTAAATATGTAATACCCATTCTATATCAGTGTGGGAGAGCCATGCTTCGGCACGAAAGGGCCGGCTCGACCGGAGTGATACCACGGCCTCATAGAAAACCGACGTGAAGCAACGCTTACGTTGTGTTTCGTCGTGTGAGTGAGGTTACCGGAGGCCCAATTACCCTCCTCTTCCCCAATCTCCCCAATTCCTGAATCCTCAACGATCCTCAAACTCCTAATTCCCCAAAAGGCTGGTAACGCACTTGTAACGCCTCTGGTGTTCCAGGTGTCCATGGGCGACGCCGATTGCTTACCATCAGGTGATCCGTCTGCTCGTTTACCGGGTTATGCCATACAAAAAATATATAATAAAATCCATTAAAAACCACTTACAACAAGGTCTCCTTAAGTTGATGTGCAGCGGGTCTCTGACTAGGTTCATACGCCCAGCACCGCGACATGACGGAGTACAGTCGAGGAGGGCAGCGAGGAGGGAGGGCGAGGCGCTCACCGTTCTCTAATTTACCTATCACGTCGTTATTCTTCACGCCACTGAAGGGTTTCACTCCCAACATTAATATTTCCCACATACATACGCCTGGGGGAAAAAAGAGAATAAAAACTCATTGAATAAAAAAAGTCATTTTAAATTATTCTTTAGAAGTTCTTGAGATGTTTAAAAACAATGGTACTGAGTGCCAAGCAGGAATAACTATCGTATTCGTAACGTAATAATATAGAGCGCGTTCGGCGCTCGGATTGGTTCGCTCACTGGAGCCTGTAACCTACCTAAGCCTTCAAAAACTGTACGATGTTTTCCATCACGCAATATGAATAATAGAGTATGAGTTCTAGGTATAATTTGAAACTAGTCGCGATTTGTATTTCTGTTGTAGCTTTTTATAACTTATGCTGAACACTGAAACGTTACTCAATTTTAAGTCGTGCTTAAATATCGTGCCATCTCTGTCATTTTTTTACAAAGAATTTGTGGTGACAGAACTATACTTAAACGCGACTTAAAGTTGAGTGACGTTTCAGTATTCGGGCATTAAATCGCAAAAATATATACTTATTATACTTACAAAGAATTAAAATGCTTTTAAACTATCCGTTCTATACGTTCATTGCAATAACTTTGAGTCATTTCTAGACAAAAATGTATATACATAATGCTTCACGGTCTGTAAATTATTAAAAAAATAACCACTTTGCACATACCAAACATCCATACATCGGAAGCGGATGTGAACCGCCTGAAGTTGATGGACTCAGGCGCCATCCACTTGATGGGCAGCTTGCCGCGCGACGCCTTGTAGTACGACTTGTCCTCCACCATCTTTGATAGACCGAAGTCTGCTAACTGTTCGAACAAGAAATAACATTGTAAGTATTAACAATATAAAAGTTTCTTTTGCATTAGGTCTTCCTGTGCTCTGTATTTCTGTACATATATTGGGATTGACGCGAATTTGACTTAAATTTGTATAATATAAACTGAATGGTGCGCTAACAATATAACTAAGTGGACAAAACATAGTCATTCATCATTTATCTACCTACATAGAGTTGGAGGGCGAAATGTAAAGTCAGAATTCACTAACAAATAATAATAATTAGATTCTTAACAATATGCAACGCTTCTATTAAAATGGCATTTAAAAACATAACTCGCGATAATTGTTATAAGTATACTGTAATTTGAACACATCACACAACATCACGCCTTTTATCCCCAAAGGGTTACGCAGAGGTGCACATTACGGCACTTAATACCACTGTACAATGTAACACCCACTTTTCACTATTATTTTGTTATGAGTCCCATGTAATAGGGGGCGATCTTATTGCCATATACCGGGCACAATTCTAGAATCCGTGCTACCATTGAGATTTTTTTAAAACCCAGTAATACTTTCCAGTCGCACTCGCGACCACTCGGTCAACGAGGCAGTCTGTAATTTGACTAGTCAACTACCCTAAGCTGTTCAAAGATATGATGATAATTCCTCACCATTACCGGAGAATAAAAATCGAAAGCAATTCTTAATATGACTCAAGGATCTGAATTTAAGAGTATCTGTTGTTCTGTACTAACCTTAACACAAGTGGGAGTAGACACAAGTACATTCCTGGCCGCAATGTCTCTGTGTACAAACTTCTTGCTCTCCAGGTAGCTGAGTGCCGTGGACAGCTGGTAGATGTACAGGACTAGTGTGCACGTCTCCAGTCTGCAATAGATAAAATCATTAGAACATGGCTTTTACCTACATCTTAGACCCAAGTTTCGTCGCGGAGAACCTAACAGGTTACCGGGGCTCCGGCTCGAAGAGCAGGAGAAGGAACGTCGTGGTTTTTAGTCAGTAAGAGTTTGACACTCCCTTCTGCCTCACCCAGGCGAAAGAAGAAATTTGATTATTTTTTCCGACTTAAAAAAAAGACTTAAGTTTCGGCACAAATGGGCCCGCACAACCAGAGTAATATCATGGCCTAACAGAAAACCGTGTGAACGAGGTTTCTGGAGACCCAAACCCCTCTTAAAAGTTCGGCAACGCTTTTGTAACTCCGCTAGTGCGGTGGTATATAGGCGGTGCTAACAGCTTACGACCAGGTCACCTGTATGTTGTAAATTTGGCGCTCTATGCCATAAAATCTCAACAAATAAAGAAAAAATAATTTTAAGTCAAAGTTATAAACAATCAAAATTAAAAAAGACCCATCTTAAAAAAACCAGGGAAAACTGAACTCTATTCTCACACGCTTCAAGTTCTAAATCGCATATCAACATACCTGTGTGCATTTTGTTGTAGATAGGCCCTCATCTCCCCCAGTGTAGCGAGTTCCATGACGATCCATATCGGCGGGGAACTACATACACCCACTAGGCCGATGATGTGCGGGTGGGAGAATTGCTGCATTATGTCTAAGGGAATAAGGTGCATATTTTAATGCAGTGTTGAATGTAGTTATAAGACTGGATAAAGATGGTTTAGGTTCAAAGTGGACTGGCAAAATTTACAGTAAATATTCAATGCTTACATTCCTACGAGAATCGTTGAATAAAGAAAGCATTGTAAATGAAATTATTTTATATAGTTATGATACAAAAAAAGATCAGCCAATTTCTTATACGTTCCTATGAATCGTATCTACATTAAATAATACTGTGGTTATGTTATGAACATTATTGAGAGAAAAGACCATAAAATGTGTTCGATAAACACAAATTAAAATCTTGTCAAAGATAACATAACATCATGCCTTTTTATTTCCGAATGGGTTGGCAGAGGTGCACATTACGGCACTTATGCCACTGTACAATGTAACACCCACTTTTCACTATTTATGTTATGAATCCCATGTAATAGGGGGTGAACCTATTGCCATATACCGGGCACAATTCCAGACTCCGTGCTAATACTGAGATTTTTAAAAACCCAGTAATACTTTGCTCAACCCGGGAATTAGAGAACCCTTGCCTGGCAGTCGCACTTGCGACCACTCAGCCAACGAGCCAGTCAAAGATCACATTCCAGTAATGAGAAAGATAACTCACAAGCCTCCTCTAGAAACTTCTCCGCGGTGTCTAGGTCGGCGTCCATCTTGCAAGTCTTGACAGCGACGGGCAGTACGGAGTCGCCGCGCGCCGCGCCCGCCGCCAGCTGGCGCCGGAGTGACGGATGGTTCGACGATGTCACTTTACATGTACCTGGGAGGAGGTACTTGTTAATGTGATGATTATTGAGAATATACATAATTATACAAATACAAATATTATTTATTTCGTAAATGTAGGTATGTTACAATAGATGGTAGATAATATTATGGTAGTGCGCCACATTGTGTCTGTACAGACATACAAAATGACTCTTTCTCATTATGTTATGGTAATTATGACGCCCGCTTCTCATATTTGAAAGTACGGGTTCGATACCCACCAACACCCAGTAACAATGTGACTTTTTCCGAATTATACTTAGCTATGAAAGACAAATGGTGAAGAAAAAACATCGTGAGGAAACTTGGGCTTATAATTTCTAATTATAAGTTTGAAATCACCAAACCGCATTGAGCAAGCGTGTTGATTAAAAAAAAAGTTCACTTTTACTTAAGTGTTGCTTACTGAAAATTTTTTTATTAAATAGTTTTATTATTCTCCACGGTCACGTGTCCATGCGCTTATCATTTAATTATATTTTCTTTTTTATAGTCAATATTAATTATTATAAAAATCTTACGTGCTATATTAATTAACAAAAATTTATTTATTTTCTTAAAACAAAGTTTTTTTAATTTAATGACGTCAGAAAGTAAGTGTATAAATATGATATGAATTATGAAGTTATAATAATATTGGGAACTTATTATGTTACCTTTGTGAACGTCTCCGAACTGTCCTTCACCGATGATACCTGTCAGTTCGATTTGATTCCGCACTAACTCGTAATCTCGAACTGAAATAAATATGTAACATAGTATAAAACAAAGTCGCTATCCACCGTCTGTCTGTCCCTATGTATGCTTAGATCTTTAAAACTTTGCTACGGATTTTGATGAGGTTTTTTAAATAGATAGAATGATTCTTAAGGAAGGTTTATATTTATAATACATGTAAATGCATAGTCGGGGCGGGTCGCTAGTATGTAAAAAAACAATATTTGGATTATTGTGTTCCTTATCTGACGTCTATTATTTCCCGAAGTAGTATCTTAATTATTAAGTTTTTTGGCTAACTAACGTAATTATTTGACGAGGAACTCGAGTAGTTTCAAGCCATGCTAGAGGATCATATGATTATTATACATATACTACAGTAGCAGCGCGACAACCGCCGCGTCGTGAGTCGCGGAATACTGCTCATGAATATGATCCCCTAGCATAGCTTAAAACTAGTCGAGTTCCTCGTCAAACTGTTACGTGAGTAGGCCGAAAACATAATAATTAATTTAGTCTGTCTCTGTACGACTCAATAGAGAGCCAGTAACTGAACTCATATTTCTTTCACCGCAAACCTAAGGAACAATGCACTTACTCGCCACATATTATGTTACAATTTCATGGATATTTTATGTCTAAAGATAAATGCAATCTTTTCTTTCTTTTCCTTACCTGCAGGAGTAGAGTAGTCGGCGTCATCATCAACAATCTCCGCGTAGTCCTCGGACAGTAGTGTCGCCGTGTTCGCCTCCCACGAACTCGTCTTACCCTCCGACGAACTGCTGCTCATCTCCGCTGCAATATTAACAGACATGTTACGAGATCCCAAGATCCCGTTCCTTTTCCTGCACGTCGAGCCGGAGTCCCGGTAACCCGTTAGGTTCTCCGCGACATTACATACACGCTAGGGCTTGCCTGTCGGTTATGCATACACGGCTAAAACCATCATGCAAAACCTACCATATAGCCTCATTTATAGGGAAGACTATTGCCATACAGAGCAGAATTAACAAACAAATACATTCTAATCAACTTACTTTTGCACTGACAATTGAGTTGTTTCCATACGGTAGCTTGTAATAAACAAAGATACCGATAAATACATTCATATAGCTTTTAATAAAATAAGATAACATGACGTGAAGCAAAACAATTATGACTTACTTGTTCTATTCCATAAAGATGTTTGTGACTCTGTGACCAGCCTGCAGTAGCCATCTACTAAATCTGCTAAACTTTCTGCAGCCTACAAATAAAACATATTTTATAATTAATGACGTCTCAGAAAGAGAGAAGAGCCATAATTTTATGTTTGTATGAGCAATTGTGCATATAGAACATGACATGGTGAAAGTGGTTAGACAAAATTAATAGAGCCATGCGTGGGCACGAATGGGCCGGCTCGACCGGAGTGATACCACGGCCTCACAAAAAACCGACGTGAAACAACGCTTGCGTTGTGTTTCGTCGTGTTCATGAAGTTAGCCGAGGCCCAATTACCCGGGCCCCCACCCTTCCCCAATCCCTGAATCCCCAACAATTCTCAAATTCCTAATCCCAAAAGCCCGGTAACGCACTTGTAACCCCTCTGGTGTTCCAGGTGTCCATGTGCGACGCCGATTGCTTACTGGTGATCCGCCTGCTCGTTTACCGGCTTATACCATAAAAAAAACATAGGTTTTGTTAGCCAAGGAATACCTTGGCAATATTTATTTTATTAACTGGCTTTAACTTAACCAATAGGTTTACAGTTAAAAAATAATCCAGTACAGAGATAGTAACTACCTATTAGTTAACTAATTTGTATCTTTTTTTAGGGAGTCAAATCGTTTGCTCTGTACTGAAATGTCACAATATAACTAGAGTTTCAAATAGCAAGGGGTTCAGACTATTTGTCATGAAAAGTTATATAGAGGTACATACTCAGTGTTGTATTTGTATTGCTTACCTCTACACTGCTGCACGTGATAGTGAGCGTCTCTGTCGCTCCCTTTACCCGTAGTTGTAACGCGGCCTTACCACAGGAGCCACTCTGAAACAAAAATAACAAAGATCAAACTTGGAACTGGCTGATTTAAAATTCATCTTATATCTATCTATGTATCTATCTTTATATATTATAATTCTTCTGCGAGTGTGTATGTCACTGTTGCAAAATTAGACTAGTAGAATGCATTTGTGTCAGCGTGGAGTTGTCATGCTCACTCAAAGGTCTCATTGGCGGTGGCGCGTGCAGTGGATCGCTCGATTCCCTACAATATGGTTGAGTTGGGCGGTGCTGGTGTACGTGTCATGTTCGTGAACGGGCGCCGTCAACTGGGACTGGTCAGCTCCAGACTGTATTATTGTCTTTAAGGTTATTTTCTTTTTCAATCACTTTGACTACATTTTAGTGTTACATTGTTCTCGCACAATCCAAACAGAAAACTATGTAACTAGAGAATTGTATTGTGAACCTGATTGAAAAAGAGTAACCTGTGGAGTTTCTTGCTCGTTCTTCTCCATAGGAATCTACACCTTAGAATGAGCAAATAGCTTCACTTTTAATATTATTATTGACGTTCAAAAGTGCCTTTCTGGTCTAATTGAAATAAATGATTTTGACTTTGACTTTGACTTTGACACTGAACTTCTCTCAAACGACTGGACCGATTTTGATGAAATTTTTTGTGTGTTCAAGGGGATCTGGGAATGGTTTAGATTCACAAATCAGCCCGGCAGATCGCGCTGCATATACTATGCATTTGCGTGGTAAAGATTTGTACCTGTGTCTGCGACTGTTGCGTACAATTGGACTTGAGTGTTTGTACAGCCACGATGTCACTGAACGACGCGATCTTTGTGTACGTCGGGGGCTCGCCCGCCTTGTGGGACACGTATGATATATCTGTAGACAATTATATGCGATTATTAATAAAACAAAACATATGTACAATCGTTTTTATCTGCTTGTTTTTATATTAACTGTGACTTAGTAAATTACGATAAATAGCAGTGTTTTGAAATAATTAATAAGGATCATTTCTAAGAAACTAGAAGTTATAAGTCAGTTTGAAATTTAATTCGACGTCTGTAGATTCTACTGGGCAACACTATCAATAGATTAAAGTTTAACTGGTTCAATATGGACAATCTCTTATATGTACGTTTTTCAACTACCGTAATATTTATCAATGAATTCTCTACGTAGTCATTGACTGTCTCGTTGGCCGAGTGGTCGCAAGTGCGACTGCCTGGCAAGGGGTCTCGCGTTCGAATCCCGGGTCGGGCAAAATATTACTAGGATTAAAAAAACATCTCAGTAGTAGCACGGAGTCTGGAATTGTGCCCGGTATATCGCAATAGGCTTACCCTCTATAACATGGGACTCATAACATAAATAGTGAAAAGTGGGTGTTACATTGTACAGTGGCGTTAAGTGCCGTAATGTGCACCTTTGGCTACCACTTCGGGGATAAAAAGGCGTGATGTTATATAACAAAGACGCCTGAAACATTAACTGTCCCATAACTTCTTTTTCGACCTTAAAAATAAAGTTAAAAGAAGCAAAGAGTCCCACCAATAAAAGGTCCGATCGCGAGCTCAACAGGTATAGACCAGCCAGTGCCGAGCGCGCCGGTGAACGTCTCCCGGTCGTATCCGTAGTGCGTGTGCATCGTGTCCAGGTACTTGAGCATACATTCCGTGTCACTTAGGTTGGCCACCTGAGGATACAGAGAGAAGAAAATTGGTTAGACAATACTCAAAATTAATTACCTGTTATTTGTTCTTAAACTTATAAAAGGTAAAAGAACATAACATCATATCGCACCTACGGTGCAATATCGTCCAAATTCACCTCTTTACTTGGTGCGTTATTATCATTTGTGTAGTACGCAAACTGTCTTCGTGAGGGCATTGCTGTCGTTACGGTTTTGGCGCTAATCTGGACGGCACTAGGAGAAACAACGTTTCATTGTTCAGTTGCGCGCGGGCCCCCGCAATACATAAGTGACGTTATAGCACCGGAGGTACGATATGTTATGTCTTGAACTTAAGTATGTTTTACAGATAATTCACGTAACTGTTTCGATGAGGTAACTCGATTAGGTATAGACACGTTGCGTCGGTTTTCGGGCGAAGTGTTCATAATTATGGGACCCATGCGTTGCTCGAAATTAGTCGTGTTACCTTGATAAGTTACGGGAATAAGTCGTAAAAATAATTAAACATTTAAAACGCCACGGTCGGCTATAGACAGCAAACAAAATATGACGTGATCCGCAACAGTAGGCTCACAGCTGACAAGAAAACATGATTATTAAGTAGGTACATTTAGTTTGTCCGCGCCGCGGCGGTCAAAAGGTTAATGTGATCACACATAATACAAGGTGTAGTTTTGAAACCTTGTCATTTCTTAGTTCAGAAGTCATAAAGGTTCAATGTAAGAAAAAATTTCGGGCCAATAGTTAAAAATACGGCTATAATAACGACAGCAATGTTTCTTATTGGAGTTTTATGGAATTAGGTATAATATCGATTACGTGTTTGAGTTTGTGTGTGTTAAGCCGCGTTATAAAGCTAGTTACAAGACGGCGGCGTGTACTTCGCACTTAGGGATTTCCGTAATTTCAGAAAAATGAAAAATATTTACCTGCAGTATTTTTATTGATTCGGACTCAGAATCGATAGCCTAGTTACCTCTAGAAAATGACGCGGCTTTACAAACAACACCTTGTATAAATGCTACTTAAGAAACCACTGGTACTGGTACTTTCATTATTACTTAAAAATTTTAGAATAAAGGATGTTACCTTTTTAAATTGTTGTTGTATGGCCTTCTTGAGCACCTTGGGTTTGATGGCGTCGAGCACAGACTTGGGCAGGAACTTGTGCAGGCCAAACTCTTTCTCCAGGTACTCGATGTTGGACTTCTTGTCCAGAGATGTTTGCATATCCTTACAGAAGTATCTGGAATTAAAACATAAATTTTATTGTACCTAGTATTTTATATTACACGGCATTTTTGCGAAATTAGATAAGTTTTGGTATTTTAAATATATAAAGTTTTGGTAATTAATTAAAGTAACTAATTACACTTCTCTGTATCATACTGCGATTGGCTGGTAGAGAATGTCGTCCGACATTAAGAACCATTAAGTGTGGGAGAGCCATGCTTCGGCACGAATGGGCCGGCTCAACCGGAGTGATACCACGGCCTCACAGAAAACCGACGTGAAGCAACGCTTGCGTTGTGTGAGTGAGGTTACCGGAGGCCTAATTACCCTCCCCTTCCCCAATCTCCCCAATTCCTGAATCCCCAACGATCCTCAAACTCCTAATCCACAAAAGGCCGGCAACGCATTTGTAACGCCTCTAGTGTTCCAGGTCGACGTTCCATAGGCGACGCCGATTGCTTACCATAAGGTGAGCCGTCAGCTCGTTTACCGGCTTATGCCATAAAAAAGAGCCGATTTTTCAATCATCAGTTAACTCTTAACTGTAGAATAAAATTGACATTTGACAGTTATTAGTACGGAAGAATTGTCAAATATTCAAAGTTATTCCTCAGTTAAAATTTATCTGAGCTTTGAAAAATTGGCGCTAAACCCGCCATTGTCGGATTGTACATAAAGGGTTAAATATAAAATACTCACTTAATTTCTAAACAACATATTTGTATCGCCAAATCCTGGTCTACCATTGGATGATTGGCGTTGAGGTAGTCGTGTCGAACCTGTAACAGAACAGTATTTATATAATTACCAATTAGAACAGCTACAGACGTTTGAAATCGATGTAATAAAGGTTCTCTCTGGTCTATATCTTTCTTCTTCTTAGTCGATTCTTTCACTGCTGAGGATCGTGACTCCCTCTGATTTGGCTCACTAGATGGCGCCACTTATCTCGGTCCGGTGCTTGATGCATTGATATATTCATGGGTATCTCCATCTCCAGATAATTACTTAGACCGGGCCTCTTCCCTTCTGCTTTATGGGTCACTATGAGGCGTTCCAGATTACCAGCTATGTCTTTCTAAAGGCATATATTGCTGAAAAGTATTGCCTGTTTGATTTAGTAGGAAATATAATTGACTTGAGTGTAGAAGTAGCAAACAACTTGTAACTCCAACTAACCTGGTCGTAGTAATAATGGAAGGTGACCCGGTCGGCGTCGCAGAGGTCGCGCAGGTTGGCGGGCAAGTATCGCACGCGCAGCTCCAGCCGCCACTCGCTCGCCGGCCATTTTGTCAGGAGCTCCGACACTGGCGTGTCCTGGTGGATCCAACGGATCTACGGAAAATATTCAAAAGATTAGCTCAATATTATGTCAGGAAATATTTTCATATCCAATCATTCCACATAGCATATATAGCATAGCAGTAACCAGAGAAAAGTGAGGGGATACAGTTATACTTAAAGTTATGACGTCATTTAACAATTTGTCAATTGGTGCAACGTCTTTTTGACCTAACCGATACTTTAACAGAAATTTTGACGTTTGTTATTGTTAAAGTAAGTTTATAAATTTATTATTATTTATTAATAATTCAAAAATTGCGAAATACAAAAAACATATCGTAAATACGTACAATTGTCCTCACAATGTTATATGCCTGCCATTGCCTGCACTAGGACAATCCTGTATCGCAGGCGAGAGGAGTTCTAAATCTAAATCTTATAGTAACACATTTTATTTCTACGTTGGTACAACCGAACCTTAATATTTTCTATGAACTCCTATATACCCAAAAGCAAGACTAAATCGGTTTAACCGTTCTCGAGTTTTTTAGATTAACAAACAGTTATTGTTTTTTATACGAGTACGATGATGTATGTAAGTAAAAAGTTTCTTTCAACTGAAGCTGAATACCGTCATTATAGACACAATTAAAGAACAATAGGTTGCGGTCACACATGTTTCTTTACCTACGTAATTTTCTATCAGTTACACAATAAAAGCCATAAAGACTAAGCTATTTTTTTTTAATGGGACAAGCCCGCCACAACCTTCCAAAGCCGCTGCAAGTCCTGTAAGCCAGGATCTACAGTAGATACAACCATGAAAACACCGGAACATTGAAGTCCAAAGTACAAAGACTAAGCTAATAAAAAATATGTATCAAGAAGTCCACTCAACATACCTTGCCAGTAGTCAGCCTCTTTGCTCGTAACGCGAAGCATGACGCGTATACCCTGTCTCCAGCAGCCAGCCTGGCGGCCAGCAGCCGGAGCACCGACCTCACATCCTCGTCAGCTGAGGCCCGCACCACGTTGAACCCACCGTTGGGAAGGTGGACCTTTAGTGTGGACTGGTCGCCTGCTGCGCCTCCTAGAAGATAATGATACAAATGATTTAGCATTTTTGTTTAGCGTCATGTTATTTTGATGAAAGGGGTAGTTAAAATAGTTATATTGGCTTATAATACATGGTTCACATATTCATACTAATTATTGTTCTTCTCATTATCTCAAAAACCACATTATTTATATTGTTGCATTACAAGAAGTGGAACTGCGAATATAAAAAATAACCACTACAAATTACTCACATTCAAAAAAGGATCAACAATTGTAACAAACTTAATAATAAATTGGACTATGAACGCGAATCTTTATTTAAACACATAGAAAGGTATCCTGGAAAATATGAAATCATATTTTCATCAAAACTGTTTTGAAAAGTAAAATCATTGATTGGTTCAATCCAGCTCTCCCAATAACACCCAAGACTCCCTAGAGCCAGACGTTTATAGTACCCGAGTTCACTCACAGCTCCAAATACAGTATGATGGTCACGTTGCCTAAGATTTATGTTTGCACTGAGATTTTCCCCAGCATCGATGATAAATCGACTCCAAAATGAAAGTCACTGTTATAATATTTACGTGATATGAGCTTTGGGACTTAAGCAGAATTTTAAGATCCAGATTTTTGCGTTATGTCAACACGATCCTTCCTTTCCCTCAAGGATAAAGGACCTAAATACATACGTGGTATGTATATGTATATACATATGTATATACTAAGTGCTGTCCCCATTTTTGTTCGTGTAAAAATCTTAGAAAAATAGATTTAGCTTCCTCGGAACCTTAATTAAGCACAAAATTTAAAATATGCAATGAGTCGGATTTAATACTACGGTACATTTACTTTTCGCTAGTGATTTAATGCCAGATTTAGCGCTTGCGCTTTTCCAAATGAGACTATTATAAGTTTCATTTTAATAGGCACTAAATATGACATACGTTACCAAAACATGTGTCCTAGATTAACCCAAAACAGGCTGTCTTAGTGGCATTCAGAACTAGCAATTACTACTTGACCAACACCCAAAACTTCCACTCCTAAAAGTCCCCTAAACTCCCACAACCCTTGTAAACAAACTGCCCACGTAAAATCATTAGCCAAATGGATGTCAACTCTGTAATGGGGTTAATAAAACTCAGAGTCAATTAAACACGTTGCGAGGTGCGTCAGTGAAGGTGTGGTGCCTATCCCCCGTGGCTTAGTACCCTGAATTGCTTGTAATGGATATCGCACTGTTTTGTTGCCTTCATGGCAGAAGCGGATCAAACCAGAGCGCCCTCGGCAAGTACCTTATCATCATCAATAGCCTATAAGTAGCCATTACTGACCAAAAGCCTCTTTTCGCACAGAGAAGGTTTGAGCATTATAGACCATGCTTGCTTGCTTGATTTCAAACTTTTTTTTTTTTTTTTTAATTTATTTACAGGGTTTTTTCTTAATAGAAAACATCACCCCGATTATTGAATACAAAAAAACATTTAAGTTATAATCAAAAATTATAAGCCCAGGTTTTCTTACAATCTTTTGTCTGACATTTTGTCAGTGGTGTCTAGATAATCTTAGTACCTCATACGTGTCCCTAATTTATATTGGTGCCGTCGCCACTCTGTGGATTTGCGTGTCTCGCAGGGTCGTGGCAGGGCCCTTCTGTCCCCTGGCGCCCCAGGTACTTGTCTAATTTGCCTTAGGCAGAATACGTCTCTGCTTCATGGAGTTACGACCGCGTAGGTTGATTGTTTGTAGATATTTATTACTTAATAGTTATAGGCCTGGCTTACTGCTACAATGGTTATAGTTCTGGAATGTAGGGTGTGAACAGAAGCAATTTATAGAACTGATGTGATCAAAATCGACAGTGGCGCCAGTTTGTGCAAAACTGGTTTGTCCAATTTAAGACTAGAAAAAGCATTTGGAGATATATCTAGTATTTTAATTAAACTTAACATTATTTCTTTTTTTTGTAGTTTAGGTAAGATAAATAAAATCGATTTGTTATCGGAACGAACCTATTGATCTTGTTCTAAAGTAAACCGCAACAAATAAGTCCGAACTTAATCAGTAATTTCTATCAAAACTGTTAGGATCACAACAACTTTGCAGTAACGTAAAAAACCTCTGGCAAAACAACTTTGCAGTAACGTAAAAACCTCTGGCGACCTCAGCTACAAACAGTTTTTAAACACGAAATCTTCAAAGAAGGTTTCTAAAAAGAGTTTTAAAATTAAATGCGAACTGACTTTTTACATGAACACGTAACCCGACCGTTCTTTAATTAAAAAGTGTGCACAGGTAATATGATACTCTTCTCATTAAAAAAGGAACAACCTCTTTGCTTTTAAGTTGTAATATATTGGTGGGGGAGTGGAGGACAAGCGGAGGAGTGAGGACAAACAGAGGACTGAGGAGAGGGGGAGTGCGTGTAATCGGATTTCTGAAAACAAAGGCAACTTTTTCTGTAAAATGATGGCGATGCGTGGTTAACGTGTGTACCTACGGTATTGTGTCCATTTTATAGGGGAGGGGTTAAAAAGGGTGGGGTTTTAAGTTATGTAGTTGTGTGCTGTCGTGTTTCATTATACAAAGATTTCAGTAGATGAAGGTAATTTATCTTTAAACTAGCGACCCGCCCCAGCTTCACACGTGTGCAATATGCATGTATTATACATATTAACCTTCCTTAAGAATCACTCTACCTTTAAAAAAACCGCATCAAAATCCGTTGCGTAGTTTCAAAGATCTACATAGGGACAGACAGACGGCGGATAGCGACTTTGTTTATACTATGTAGTTATTTTGAATCGTTTTGCCGTTAATGTTTAACAGTTTATAGTGACTAGACAAACTTATATTTTTCTAGATTAGGACCATTTGGTTAGTAAAATACGGTAGCTTTCATTGAATTAAAAACAATATCGATAGCTTAACCGATTCAGGAGCCGAAATAAAGCCTCAATTTAATAGCGAACGAGTCTAAAAGACCAAATTTTTAAATTACATCTCTTATATTGACAAAAAAGACGTTGTTCTTACCATGTGCTGGTGCGGAAGACTGGTGCCTCTTGGGCGAGCCGCCCGGAGGCGCGGGCTGCATGGCGCGCGCTAGCGGACCCTCGCCGCACCGCCCGCCACCTTCCGGCTCATGGCTGAAACAATATAAGACATACGTTAGTACAAATAGAGAAAATACAATTTCAAAAACACAAAATATTAATGAATGGGGATTGTATTAGCAAACTTAATACGATGCATTTATTAACGCAATTCTAAAGAAAAAGTTATCGGAAGCGTCTAGATCCGTTCGTTGAAGTGAAATGTGAAATAGTTTTTATTGTAGTTTATAATTATATTTTTTATATTATTTTAAAAGGCTTCATGCACACACTAATGTACAAGGTGGGCTTAATGTCTTTGGCATTCTCCTCCAGCCAGACCTTTGGGTGATGCAGAGATAATTATGAATAACTTACATTTGAATGACCAACAATAAAAAATCCTAAACGTGGCCTGCAGACTAGACAATCACGACTAGGGTTGCCACCTTTTTTTGGTATTTAAAGTACATTGACGATTATAGGTAAGAAAAAAAGTACATAGTACAAAAATAAAGTACAATTTAGTATTATATTTCTGTTGCTTTTTGCAGTTTGTATTAATTTAGTACCTTTACTAACAGTTGCATTGAAATACTAAACAATTGCATCTTTACTATAAATTGTCTAATTGGCGCTGGCGAGTGGCGAAATCGATTCAACATAAATCAATAAGTTTACCAAAAAATACTTACGACTTTAATAGAAATGAAGTTTGCAAAAATAAAGTATTTTCGTGTACTTTATTATTCTTATAAAGTATAGAGTACAATTACCTTAAATAACGTACAATACTTTATTATAAAGTACGGGTGGCAACCCTAGTCACAACCAACAGCTACACTTCTTTTTTCTGTGAGCAGCTGTAAAGATGGGTTATTGTCGTATCGTGGTCGTCTAATCTGCGAGATCCTTAATACACAAATTAATTTCTCGTGTAAAAATCTCGTCTTCACACTCCATTTACTGGGTAAACGTAGCGACGTAAGGTACACACATTATTATTCATGAACTAGATAACACTAACAACTACCTAAATCTACATAATGTACCATGCACGTATATGCATACAGTTTATTTTACAATGTATTTTATTAAGATTGTTGTGGGGTAGTGAATGATTGTGAGTGAAATTGTATAGATGATGCATGAGTCTGACTGCCATGGAGGCAGTTGGACGATTGCAAAATTAACAGCACGATTGGCATGGTGGCTGGGCAACCGGCTGCAGCGCAACGTGTAGCGGGTTTGATTACCGCACGGAGCAAGTATTTGTGTCATCCACAAACTGTTGTTTCGAGTCTGGGTCGCATGTGTATGTGAACTTATATATGTAAAATATGCAAGCACCCACGACACAGGAGAAATCCTAGGGTCCCCACACACAAACAGGATTTTCTACGGTGTCGTTTAAAAATGGCTTCTACAAAAGTTGTTCGAGTATTATTATTAGATATTTGACAAGAATAAACCGTATTAAGGTACATGGTTAAATGTAAATGTTGAAAACTTCATTAAAAAAGCATTAAAAATCTTTACTTTTAGGCAAATCGCGAACTTCGTAGCTATCCGAAAATATGAACTCTGAACTAATCGATTTTAAATTCAAAAATGAGTTTTCAAGCTCTTTATTTAATACATGCATGTAGGTTCATTTCTATTCGTTTATTTTCAAGGAAAGGAATCTGTTTTTACTCTCTGTGGGAGCGTCACTCAAAAACTACTGAACGGATTTTAATGACAGTTCCCGTTGCTATTTTTGGACAGTGTCGACCAAAAAGGGTGTAATGTTTTGTTAGAAACATGGTAAAAGAAGCTCGAACTAATATTTTCGTGTCATTTAGTTTTCTAGGGACGGAAGATGAACAAGTTTTGTAAAACAAGTAGGTAATAATGTTGGTTTCAGTACACAATGATCACTGTAAGGGTCAATTATTATACCCACGGAAGGCCTAACGGGTTGCCGGGGCTCCGGTTCCAAGAGCAGGAGTAGAAACGGGGTGGTTTTTAGTCAGTAAGAGCCTGATACTCCCTCCCGCCTCACCCAGGCGGGAGCAGTTATTTGGTGCTTTCCCCCCTCAAAAAAGGGCCACTGATATTAATGAGAACTAAATTAAAAATAATAAAAACAAAAAATCTATACAAAATGAAACAAATGAGTCGACATAGAAAAACAACCTAAACCTATTTTCTGAACAATAAAAGGAAACGCTCACGTTTGTTCTGTGTTTAAAAAAGAAAATGACCGACCTCAACCGAAAAGAAAAATATCCATAGCAAAATACAAAATAGTTTCGGCTTTAGAAAATTGGTCAGGCTTTGGTCAAGGGGTTTTACAAAAGACGTCTTTGGGTGCCGACACGGTAGTCGTTTTATCCAAGGGCATTTATATTGTGTAGTTAAGAAATATTGGGCACTTTTGTGCAGAATAACGAGTAGTTTTATGTAGAATGCTTTTTATTTTAAACTTTTTGCCTTGGTTATGAGTATATTTTTGGTATAATATCATCTAATCTCATTCTATTATGAATCATTAATATAATTTCATTTCGAATTTTATAAAATAACGAAGATTACAATGAAAATCAAATATTTGAGCAAATAGCCTGAACTTCGAAAAATAATTTAAATAATAACAAAACCTACCGCCATTTTGAAAATTAACGCGGGAAAAGCCGCCATTTTATTGATATAAACCTCTTTTCTATAAATGAACAATGGGTAGAAACAATTGTTGCCTATTACGAAAACCGTTTCACCTTAACAGAATGTTTATTTTATTACATTCCGAATTACCCCACGTAAGAGGATTAACGCTGAACGTATGAAATTTTAGGAAAAACACACTTAGAAGGAATTCCTTCCATACTGGTATTTTTATGTAATTATTAATTACTTTTGTATTTATTTCTAGAATGGATTTCAATTTTCTGTTTACCAACTAGTATTTCTTAGCAAAATAAATATTGTTTTTTAAATAATCAAAGAATTTATATTAATTTATAATGATTACGATACAACTACCTACCTATTATAGTTAAGAACAGTTTGGAAACAATTTCTTTGTTCGGTTCGAGAGACGCACTACCACGACTCTTGCTTGAGATTGCAGCAATTGCCATGTAACATAGATACTTACTGGTACAAAATTATGCACCATTTCTACATAAATGACAGAGAAAATAACGCATTCAAATCAATCAATTACGTTCGAAGACCGGTTTAATATTTTTTATAGTTATAGTCAGCCGTAGAAATCGCAAAATTACTGGAGCAACTTGAAGCTCTTTTTATGAAAAGTAAATATTGGAAAAACCACAAAACGACAACCATGTCTACCACCGAGTTAAAGGATCTAATTAAGAAAATCCTTTTATTAATACTCGACCCACACATAAACCAACGCAATTTCTTTTTATTGCAAAAAATAGAACATTATTAACGTCTTCAAACATAAAAACTTCCATCAAACGTGATTCAAACATTTGAGTAATTTCATATCGCTTCAATTCCACTCAAAGGTTCAACCCTCGATTGGTTCGAATCAAATTGACCGCAAGGCATCCGAACCCTTCAATAAACTAAGGACGGTCTCACCACTCGACCCACAGACTAAAAATACATACAGAAATTGTACATTACACAAAAATAACCCTTTTTTAAATACCTACCTTTTCTAAAAAACCGTTTAATAAGGGCAGATTATTATAATTTTACTATGGAAATATCGTGTGAAAAAAATTTATTTTTAACAATTACATTTATCACCGATGGAGTAGGATGAGGTGCATATTACGGCATGTAAGGCAACTGTACAATATAGCACCCACTTTTCACTATTTATGAGTTCCATGTAATAGGGGGCGAGCTTAATGCCATATACACCGGGCACAATTACAGATTCCGTGCCACTACTGAGAATACTCTGTTTAAAAAAAATGTTTGATATACAACAACAACTACACAAGTCCACGAAATAGATAGGTATTGGCAACAGGAATTAAAACTCCTCTTAATGCAGGAGATTATTCGAAATATAAATATTTTATTCTTTCAAAAACAACTGAACCCCACATAGTGTCTTTTATCCCAAGGAGTAAGAAACTTCACCGTACCTGAACTCTAACATTACCAAGACATTGTTGTAAGGTTTATGAAACTTAGTTCCGCTATTTAGCTAGTTAAGAGGCGAACCTAATCCTGCATGCAACATTGCACGGCTTGGGGAAATTTTGATAGAAGTTCCCTACATGTTTAAGGATGTATTAAGATAATGTGAGGCTGGAGAATGTAGCTAAATTGTACGTTTATTATAGGGTTGCTTTCGTTGTTGGATTGAGTTACATCATACATGATGGTACCTAATAGAAGGTTTTTGTCTCTGTGATCGATATGAATTATGAAACTTTATAGTGGATAGTTTCCGTAGAATCCTTCATAACTCAAACTCAAAGTCTTTATTTGCATGTTAAGGTAATACATAGGTACAGGTCTTATGAAATGACAGGCACAGCTTAACGGCCTTTTTCAGGCGTTGCAAATTGTAGGGGTGTCACTAGCTTATTATAAATTACATTTGATTGGTTGGGAATATAGGTAAGTACTTAAGTATATAATATATTGAAGTATATAACATATTGAATGTGTAACGGTGAAGTTGTTATAAGGAAGTTGTGAGGCGAATAAACCAAACCAATTTTATTCTTAGTTGTGAAAAATTTGTCATGAAAATGGGGGCCAGCTTAAAGGATTTGCTAAATTTAAAACAAACCATTAGTGAGAATAATGATTGTAATCGATTTAAAAGTTTGATATAAACGGGCTCAGCATTATCAAATAATGTTATTCAATAAATTATCAGGGCAAACAGAAGTCTAAACATTAAAATACAGGACATGTTTAATCAAAGTCTATCCTCGTTGATTCATTGACAACGAATTTTATCAATTGACGTACAATTTACAGGAACAGATAAGCAATAGAGTGAGTGAATGAAATGTGATTCAATATTTCATGGATTAGAGCAGAATACAGATAAAAAATTCCGAGTAAAA